AGTCAGGAGGACGCCAACCATGCACCTCCTCCTCCTCCCTTCTCCCTCCTCCTCCTCCTCCTCCTCCTCCTCCTCCTCCTGCTTCTCCTCCTCCTCCTCCTCCTCCTCCTCCTCCTCCTGCACCGATCCTGGCCAGGAATGTCGAGAATCCTGGGCTCAGGATCAGCCAGGCCGGGAGGGAGCGCACGCCGATCCTGGACACATGATGGGCTCGGCCAGGATCGACGCAGGCCTCCTCCTCCTCCTCCTCCTCCTCCTCCTCCTCCTCCTCCTCCTCCCCCGATCTGGATGCCGACTTCCAAACGGCACGGTCCCATGACGATCACGAGAAGCTCCCTTCTGCAACTGACCACACGGAGGGCACCTCGCCGGTGAGGCTCCCCGCCAGCAGGGACATCTGCCTGGTGCACGCATCCGAGGGAGTGCTCACGTCTCCGTGATCGTCTTCCCCCAGTCCACCGACCCCGCTTTTTTCGGGGGTGAGAAGGCGTGTGGGATATTTGGCGGTCTCCCTCCCCCAGTCCCCCTTCCCTCGTTCGTTCGCAAGACATGTCGCACGACACATCGGCTCAGCAGGGGAAAAGTGCATGCCGCGCAGGAGAAGCGGCAGTGAGAGATTGCACCCAAGCATCTATCGGGTCAATGGTCACTTAAGCCCCTTCCCTCGCAGCACACAAATCCTGACTCAGTGGAGGGCCCGCCCCCCCCCCTGGGTCCTGGAATTTCCTGGCACTCCTTTAAGGACGCTCGATGCCTCCAGGTCTACGCTCCGTGGCCGCCTGGGTTCTCCGAGTGCTGTCTGGGATGGCTTCAGTAGGGCTGCAGCACGCTAGAGAGGCATCGAGGGCACTCACGCTGGCCTCAGGACGGCCCGCAGGACACCCCAAGAGGCCCTAACGAGGACCTCTGAGGATCTTCAAAGGAAATGCAATTCCATAGTCTTGATCCCCAATAGCTAAGTGGAGTGCCGAGTTTCTCTTCACCCGCGTCTCACCCGCGATCCTCAAGTCTCGTCCCCTTTTTCGTCTCACCCGCAAACGCATCAGACATGAGTACACACATCAGCCTTCTCAACGCGCATACGCATCAGGCAATCAGACTTATTCGGCGGTGGACAAACCTCCCTCTAGTAAACCTCCCCTTAGTGAAAACGGTCTGGGACCGAAACCGACGGACCTGGACCCGCAAAAATGACGGCCGCGACGCCCCCTCGCGAACCGAAAACAGCCAATTCCTTAATCGACGTGTCAGGGTAGGAGGTCTGTCCACCTCCGACTTATACACACACACAGGCGCACACCCGGCGCGGCTATCGAAGGCGACCCAAAAGCCACCCCCCACACTCACCGCATCACACTGCATACATCCCTCTCTCTAGAGCCCGTGGCCCCTCAGCGCTCGTACGCATCAGGCAATCAGACTTACATATATATATATATATATATATATATGGATATATATGTATATATACACACGCACACAGGCGCACACCCGGCGCGGCTATGGAAGGCGACCCAAGAGCCACCCCCCGCACTCACCGCATCACACTGCATACCCCCCTCCCCTCTGGAGCCCGTGGCCCAACGACCGCCGTCGGCTGCACGTGCCCCCGGAAAAGGAGGCCCTGGCAGCTTGCGAGCAGGGGAACCGCCGAGGGTCCGGAGGAAAGCAAAGCTATAATTAGAAGCGTGTTGAGTACTCCAGATTTCGTAATAAAAGGGAGGGGGTCTGGATCCGGGGGGGGTCTCTTCCAATCTATCTTGGAGGGCCTGGGGGGGTCTGGGGACGATGTTTTGGAGGGTTCTCCCCCGGGGGGGGGGGTCTGAAATGGCTTGTCTTGGAGGGTCCAGACCCCCTCCCATTTATTACGAAATCTGGAGTAAATGCCCAACACTTTTTCAATCAAAGCTGTCGCGCAAGGAACTGCCTGGGGAATTGCTCGAGTCGCGCCATCGCGAACGTGGAACGGCGCTATACTGTAAACGCAAAGCGTCATTTGTGAAACACCCAGGAGTCTGTGAATGTGTGAACAACGGATTATAAAACAAATGATGGAACCCGAAGCGTCGCGATTCGCAACTGTCGCCGAAGGGGGCGTGCCGATGAAGCGCACAAGAATTCAATAATCCTGGTGGATGTGGGGGTGGGTTGCTGTCTCTTGAATCGTTGCATCATACACATTAAACGCATGCAACGTTTATGCGGCACCCACACGATACACGCGTCCACATATCACCGCACAAACATCAGACACATACAAACGATTCACAAGCGCAGACCAAGGCAAGCACATGACGCGCGCACCGCACGACATACCAGAGGCGTGACCTGGCGACCCTGCTGCCGACACAATCAGGCGCTGCAGTGTCTCAACATCGCAAGGGGGCGCGTTGGGGGTGGCCCCCCCTTTCCGCTGCGGGCTCGCAGAGCGTGGCAGGCGTGGCATTCCCGAGACACCACACATGAGAGCGCGCTGGGGATTGTTCCCCGACCCGTGGCGGGCCCGCAAGACATGGCACGCGTGGCACCTCCAACACAGGGGGTGCACGGGGGGTGGTCCCCCCCATCCGCTGCGGGTCCACAGAGCGTGGCAGGCGTGGCAGCTCCTCGACACCACACGGGGTGCGTGGGGGGGGGGGGCGGCGTCCGCCTATCCGCTGCTGGTTCCCACAGCGGGGCAAACGTGGCACTTCCTCGGCACCACAGGCGGTGCGTTGGGGGTGGTCCCCATATCCGCTGCGGTTTCGCAAGGCGTGGCAGGCGTGGCACTAAAGGGGGCGCTGGGGGTTGCCCTCCATATCTGTTGCGGGCTCGCAGAGCGTGGAAGGCGTGGTGCTTCCTCGACACCACAATGGGTGCGCTGGTGGGTGGTCCCCTTGGGCTCACAAAACGTGGCGGGCGTGTAAACACCACACGGCGTGCGCTAGAGAGGGGGTCTTCCTATCCGCTGCGGGCGCCCAAGGCGTGGCAGGCGTGGCACCGACTAATCAACACACGAGGTAACACGGCTACATCGCTGCCGAAACAATCAGGCGTGGCACTTCCTCGACACCACAGGAAGTGCGCTGATAGGTGGTCCCCCTGTCCGTTGTCAGAGCTCGACAGGAGTGGCACTTCCTATACACCACGGGAGTGGTCCCCTTACGCGCTGCGGGCTCGCAAAGCGCGGCAGGCATGGCAGTTCCTAGACAGCACACGGGGTGCGCTGAAGGTGGCTTCCCTCCCCAATCCGTTGCGGGCTCGCAACGCGTGGCAGGCATGGCACCTCCTGGACACCACAAGGTGTGGCGTTCGGAGAGGCCGCCCTGTCCGCTGCGGGCCCGCAGGGGGTGACAGGCGTAGCACTTCCTCGACACCATAGGGGGTGCGCCAAGGGTGGTCACCCGATCCGATGCGGGCTGGCAATGCGCTACAGGCGTATAGCACTTCCTACACACCACAAGCGGTGCACCCCGGGTGGTGTTCATGTTCGTCCGCCTGCTCCCTCCTAGTGAACATCCCGCTCTTCGCTCCCCTTCGATGGCAGCAGCAGCAGTAGTAGCAGTAGTCGTCGCCGCAATAGCAGCAGTAGAAGTAACAGTAGCAGCAATAGAAGTAGCAGTACTGGCAGTAGCATCAATAATAGTAATCGTAGTAGTAGTAGTAGTAGTAGTAGTAGTAGTAGTAGTAGTAGTAGTAGTAGTAGTAGTAGTAGTAGCAGTGGCAGTAGTAGTAGTAGTAGTAGTAGTAGTAGTAAGTAGTAGTATAGTAGTAGTAGTATAGTAGTAGTAGTAGTAGTAGTGTAGTAGTAGTAGTAGTAGTAGTAGTAGTAGTAGTAGTAGTAGTAGTTGTTGTTGTTGTTGTCGTAGTAGTAGTAGTAGTAGTAGTAGGTAGTAGTAGTAGTAGTAGTAGTAGTCGTAGTAGTAGTAGTAGTAGTAGTAGTAGTAGTAGTAGTAACAGTGGTAGTAGTAGTAGTAGTAGTAGTAGTAGTAGTAGTAGTGAAAGTAGTAGCACTAGTAGTAGTAGCAGTAGTAGTAGTAGTAGCTGTAATCGTAGTCGCATGTTCCGAAGAAGAAGAAGTAGCAGTAGTAGTACGAGTACTAGTAGTAGTAGTAGTAGTAGTAGAAGAAGTAGAAGTAGAAGTAGTAGTAGTAGGAGTAGTAGTAGTAGTAGTAGTAGTACTGGTCGTAGCAGCACTTGTAGTAGTTGCTGTAGAAGTAGAAGTAGTAGTGGTTGTAGAAGTACTGGTCGCAAGGGTATTAGGAAGCAGTAGCAATAGCAATAGAAGTCGTAACAATCGTAGTGGCAGTAGTAGTAGTATGAAGAGTCGTTGTCGCAGTCGTTATCGTCGTGGTATTAACCGAAAGAGTGGTAGGTAGTTGTTGAGATGATAATATAGTCGTAGTAGAAGTATGCGCGAGAGGAATAGTAGTAGTAGTCGTCGTAGTAGTAGTCGTAGTAGTAGTAGCAGCAGTCGTAGTAGTAGTGATAGTAGCAGTAGCAGTAGTAGTAGTAGTCGTCGTACTAGTAGTAGTAGTCGTCGTAATAGTAGTAATCGTTGCTGTAGCCTTAGTAGCCGTAGTAATAAGCATAATAATATGGTGCTTAAGAGAAAAAATCGACAGTAGCAGTAGTTAACAGAACTGTTGGTAATAGTCGTCGCCGACGTCGTCGTAGGAGCAAGGGCAGGCATCGCAGTAGCAGTAGGAATCGTAGTAGTAGCAATGGTAATGAAGTCGTAATAGCAGCAGTATAAATAATAGTCGTAGTAGTAACAGTAGTAGTAGGAGTAGAAGTCTCAAAGTAGAAGCCGCCGTAGAGACAACACTGGCACATATAACCCTCGTAACAGAGGTAGTCGCACTACTAGAAGGAGCACTAACAGGAGTAGCAGCAGTAATAAGAGTATTTGTGGGGGTGGTCGTACAAGTAGTAGTCCTGGTAGTAGTAGTAGTCCTGGTAATAGTAACAATTGCCTCCGTCGTAGCGGTAGTAGTAGTAGGTCGTCGTCCTGGTGGTAGTCGTAATAGTAGTAGTAGTAGTAGTAGTAGTAGTAGTAGTAGTAGTAGTAGTACTAGTAGTAGAAGAAGCAGTAGTTGTACAAGTGGGAGTTGCATCAATAGCAGCAGCAGCAGGAAGTTGCATCGTAGTAGTATTACTAGGAGAAACAGCTTTAGAATAAAAAGCAAATACAGGTAATAGTAGTAATACTCGTCATAGCAGTAGTAACTGCAGCAGTAGTAAGCATAGCAATAATAATCAGAATGGTAGTAGTGGTGGCAAAAGGACAGGCAGTCGGAGTAGTGGTACCGGTGGTGGTAGTGGCACTAGGTAGCCATAGTAGTTGTAGCCGCAGTAGTGATAAGAAAAAGAACAGTAGTAGGTGTAGCAATACGGGTACCAATTGGAACCGTAGTTGTCGCAATCGAAGTCGTAGCATCAATCATAATACTAGGAGGCACCGTGCCAGTAGGAGTGGTCGTAATAGCAATAGCAGCAGCAGTAGCCGTCGTAGCAGTCATCGTTGTAGTAGTACTGGTGGCAATAGCATTACACTCGTTCTAGTCCTACTACTACGACTACTACTACTACTACTACTACTACTACTACTACTACTACTATTACGTTTACTACTACTACTACTACTACTACTACGACTACTACTACGACTACTACTACTACTATTACTACTACTACGATTACTACTACGACTACGACTACGACTACGACTACGACTACTACTACTACTACTACTACTGCTACTACTACGACTACGACTACGACTACTACTACTACTACTACTACTACTACTACTACTACTACTTCCACTACGAGTACTACGACTACTACTACTACTACTACTACTACTACTACTACTACTACTGCTGCTACTACTACTACTACTACTACTACGACTGCTTCGCTACTACTACTACCGCTACTACTTCCACCACTACTACTACTGCTGCTGCTGCTGCTGCTACTACTTCTACTGCTAGTACTGCTTGTGCTACTGCGACACTACACATCACTAGACGTACTACTACTACGACTACTTCTTCTTCAGCTACTTCCTTTACGGTTGTTACTACTACTATTTCGGTTACTATCACTACCACCACCATTACTACTCATGCCATTACGAAATCTACTACTGCTGCTACCCCAAGTACTGCCACTAGTACTGCTAGGACTACTACCACTACCACCACCACCACAACTTCTACGACTACTACTAATACTACTACTACTGCTATTGCTACTACGGCTTTTTTTTACGACTATTGTTAGTACTACTACTATCATTACTAGTTCTCGTACTGCTACTACTATTACTACTACCGCGACTTCGGCCACAGCGACTATTATGGCGATTGCTAGTACTGTTATTGCAACTACTACTGCTACTACTACGAGGGTACTATTATTACAGAAGGCGGCAACGACGACTACTGCCACCGCTACTTCCACTACTAGTCGTACAAATATTATTAGTCCTGCTACAGCTACAACTGCTGATTAATAGTGGTGCCTTGAGGCACACACTGGAGTTATCCCCAAGCTCTCATGTATTCTCTGTTCTCTGCACTCAGGATTGGGGGGTTCTAATCGTCTGGAGGCTGGGGCCCCAGATTCTCAAACTCACTGTGCGCTCCTTCGCGCTCCTGGGCTGCCTCAAGTGACTTTCAAATCGCCAGGAGGGCCCCAAGACAGCCCAGAAGGGCCCAAGAAGCACCCAACAGACCTCCAAGCCAGCCCAAGAGCGCTCCAAGACGCCCACAATATCCCCAAGACGGCCGAAAAGGTCCCAAAGAACCCCCGAAAGCGCTCCAAGAGGACCCCCCAGGGGGCCCAAAGAGGCAACAATCATTGATCGCTCCGTGTGCGTGTGTTTCGATGTTTTTCGCGTTCTCGCGTTTTCGAGCTTCCGACGCACCAATATGGCCTCAGAGGCCCCCAAGACCTCCCCAAGACGGCCCAAGGGGCCCCCAAGTTGGCCCCAAGGCGGTCCACCCAAAACGACCCAAGAGGCGCTCCAGATCGCCCACGAGGGCCCCCAGGCGGCCCCAAAAGGGGCCCAAGAGGGGGAACACGAACCGACAATTAAACCATCCGCACCAAGAGACTCACAGGAGGCCCCAAGAAGCTCCAAGAGAGCCCAAGAGCCCCCCCAGATGCCCAAAAAGGAGGCCCAAGAGGCCCGCAAACGGCCCCCAAGAGGCCTCTAAACTGCCTCCAAGAGGTCCCCGGGAAGGCCCCACACGAGATCCAAACGAACATCCAAGAGGCATCTAACCCACAACCAAGGCACGGTGGCGGGATGGGCCGAAGGCCACTAGATCCGCCGCCCCCTGCTTGCAGGGGTGCACGGCGTGCTGGACGATTCAGGTTTTGGTTTTGGTTCTTTTTCTAAAAGAACTCCCCAATGGGCTTCGGCCCGTCCCGCCGGCCACCCGTAAATCTCATAAAACCCATCTCTCAATGCCCACAAACGGCCGTTTCGCTCGGGACATCCTCAAACAATCGCGAAGATGGCCCAAGATGGCCTCCAAGTCCGCCCGAGATGGTCCAAGACGGCCTCCAAAACGGCCCAAGAGAGTCCAAGACGGCCCAAGACGGCCCAAGAGGCCCCCCAGAGGCCTCCCAGACGGCCCAAGAGGCCTCCAAGAGGTCCTCCAGGAGAGTCCGAAGAGGCCAAAATCATTGATTTTCCATTGGTTTTTGAAGGATTTTGGCATTTGCGCCTTTTCGGCTCTCCGACGGCTCAAGACGGCCCAAGAAGCCCCCAAGATCGCCCAAGAGGCCCCCAAGAGAGCCCCATGATGGCCCAAGTGGCCTCCAAGATGGCCCCTAGAGGGCCCCAAGAGGGCCCAAGAGGCCTCCAACACGCCCAAGATGGCCTCCCAGACGCCCAAGATGGCCTCCAAGACGGCCCTGGAGCATTCCAAGCGGGCCCCAAGTCGGCCCATAGAGGCCCCCCAAACGGCTTCCGACGGCTTCAGACGTGCCAGGAACCCACCAAGATGGCCGAAGTTGGCTCGAAGCTGGCCCGAGACGGCCCAAAAAGCCCCAAAGATCGCCCAAAGCTTGCCCAAGAGGCCTCCAAGACGGCCAAGATGACCTTCAAGATGCCCACGTGTTCCCCGAAGGCTTTCCAAACCGATTCGGGGAACACGTGGTCCGATAGCTTGGCAGGTCTGGCCTCAACGTTCGGCCACATAGGCGCTTCCAAAAAGGCAGGGGGCGGCGGTGATTCGCCGTAGGCGTCTTCGATCCGCCGCCCCCTGCTTGCAGGGGTGCACGGCGTGCTGGATGATTCAGTTTTGGTTTTGGTTCTTTTTCTAAAAGAACTCCCCAGTGGGCTTCGGCCCGTCCCGCCGGCCACCCGCGCATTTCCCAAAATGCGTCTGTCAATGCCCAAAAACGGCCGTTTCGCTCGGGACATCCTCAAAAAATCGCGAAGATGGCCCAAGATGGCCTCCAAGTCCGCCCGAGATGGTCCAAGACGGCCTCCAAAACGGCCCAAGAGAGTCCAAGACGGCCCAAGACGGCCCAAGAGGCCCCCCAGAGGCCTCCCAGACGGCCCAAGAGGCCTCCAAGAGGTCCTCCAGGAGAGTCCGAAGAGGCCAAAATCATTGATTTTCCCTTGGTTTTGAAGGATTTTGGCATTTGCGCCTTTTCGGCTCTCCGACGGCTCAAGACGGCCCAAGAAGCCCCCAAGATCGCCCAAGAGGCCCCCAAGAGAGCCCCATGATGGCCCAAGTGGCCTCCAAGATGGCCCCTAGAGGGCCCCAAGAGGGCCCAAGAGGCCTCCAACACGCCCAAGATGGCCTCCCAGACGCCCAAGATGGCCTCCAAGACGGCCCTGGAGCATTCCAAGCGGGCCCCAAGTCGGCCCATAGAGGCCCCCCAAACGGCTTCCGACGGCTTCAGACGTGCCAGGAACCCACCAAGATGGCCGAAGTTGGCTCGAAGCTGGCCCGAGACGGCCCAAAAAGCCCCAAAGATCGCCCAAAGCTTGCCCAAGAGGCCTCCAAGACGGCCAAGATGACCTTCAAGATGCCCACGTGTTCCCCGAAGGCTTTCCAAACCGATTCGGGGAACACGTGGTCCGATAGCTTGGCAGGTCTGGCCTCAACGTTCGGCCACATAGGCGCTTCCAAAAAGGCAGGGGGCGGCGGTGATTCGCCGTAGGCGTCTTCGATAATAGTAATAATGGGAGCAGACAGGACCCCCCCCGCAAGAGCTAATTTGGATAATTACGTGGGCTTCCTCGATAGCGTCATCATAATGGATTTAGAGTTCTCGCCTCTTCGGCCAGAGATGCCGTCGAGACCGGCCCAAGACGGCCTAGCAGGCCCGGGGCCCAGAGACGGCCCGAGATGCCCCCAAGACGGTCAACAAGAGACTCAAAGAGGCCCCAAGGAGGGGCACAAGGGGGGGGAAATTCGCAGGGAGCCCAGGAGCCTTGCCACACAAGATGGCCAGACCCGCAGCATGCTCCCATGAGGTCCCAAAGAAGATCCTAGAGGGCCTCAAGAAAATCCACAGGACCCCAGAAAAGGCTCCAAGAGGCGGAGAAGCGCCGCAAACGGGCGCGAGGAAGAGGAGGACGAACCAGCAACATCTGCACACATGAAGCACGGCGGAACACGGCAAACAACATATACACGCGGCCCGTATCAGAAGGATGCACGACAAGGATGCAAGGGCCTTGGACGCCCATTCCGACGAGGCTTTTCGAGCGGGCCGCGGCCAACGAAAGTGGCCAAGGATGGACCCAGGAGGCTAGGATGCACGGATACCGTTGGGAAGGGTGCCCATCCTTACCATGCGGGTCGACTGCAATCGGAAGCCACACATCTTCTCTTCTGGGGATCGGTTGGATGGCGAAAGCGACTTGAATAAGCCGCCGACCGAATAACCAGTATTGCCAAGGTTTCGTGCGAAGACGTTGAGGTAATCGATACCCTCACGAGTCTTACCGTTTGCCACCTTTAATTCGACCTTTCCAAAACGCGTCCACATCAGGCTGCTCGGGTGATGTTCGCTAGGATTTGCGAAGAACTCGAGTGCATCTGTATGGTTTGTCCAAGCCCCTGATATTTTCACAACCTGGAAATACACGTCAGAGCACGTACCACCCATGCGCCTTGTGTCAGCCTCCAGGAGTAGCAACGTCTGCTGCGGGCCAACCCATCGCGGTATCTGCAAGAGGACATTCAGGCCAGTGCGGTAGAGGTCAAAACGCTCGCCGAACATGTTGGCGAGATGAGGGTCACCCGTGCCGGATACTCCACCTGAGCTTGGTAGCGGCGCTGACGCTGCGGATGTGGGCGAGGGTGTCGGCGAGGCCGTTTGCAAGGGTGTCGGCGAGGGTGTCTGCGAGGCCGTTGGCAAGGGTGTCGGCGACGGTGTCGGCAAAGGTGTCGGCAAGGCCGTTGGCAAGGCCGTCGGCAAGGGTGTCGGCAAGGGTGTCGGCGAGGCCGTTGGCAAGGGTGTCGGCGACGGTGTCGGCAAAGGTGTCGGCAAGGCCGTTGGCAATGCCGTTGGCAAGGGTGTCGGCGAGGGTGTCGGCGAGGTTGTTGGCAAGGGTGTGGGCAAGAGTGTCGGCGAGGACGTGGCCAAGAGCGTCGGCGGGGGTGTCGGGGCGCTGGTCGGCGCAGGCGCCAAGGCCACCAGATTGACAGACTCCCCAACCGCGGCAAGTCCACCCCAGGTGCCAGCCGGCGGAAGTCCCGTGACCCAGCCTGCGCGGCTCGAGGAGGAGGAGGCGGGGGAGCCCAAAATCGAATCGAGAATTTGAACGCCCGAAATGGGTACGGAAAGAATGGGTACAATGCCGAACAACATATGTTGTCCCAAACCAACAGCGGCCGTTGTTGGGCAAGCGACCTTCTGTCTCAAATGGAAACAGGCCGCGGCGACGCGGACAGCGAGTCCTGTTCAAAATGAACAGGAAATGATGTTGAGCATTGTACCCATTCTTTCCATGCCCATCTTGTTCGTGCAGAGAGAAAGCGGATCGGCGATCAACATGAATCGGACCGGCGGACATCGGCAGCCGCGGCGGGAAAGCCGGCTCGGCGGAGACTCGCTGGCCCGTGGGCCTCCATGGAGAAACCGGAGCCCCGAAAGCGGAAGCCATCGAAATCTCGGGCCGGGCGAAAGGGGTGGATAGCAAAGGGGGGTTTGAGAATCAGCTCACGCAGCTTCCTTTCCTGGCGCCTCCCGGCGCCGGGAGGCGCCCATGCATCGAGGAATGGGCCCGGCGGCGGGGCCGAAAACCGCTGCATGCAGCGGATTTCGTACCCCCCCTTTCCCTATTCCCCCCTTTCGCAAGGGGCACAAGGACACACAAATACATACACACAAATAAAATCATGCCCCATATTTCCCCATGTCTTCTGGGTGTGTGTCTTCCCCCCCACTGCCCACATGTTCCCATTTTTTCTCGGGGGGTCGACGATCAATTGTGTCTGTGTGCTTTTTTCCCCCTCCTGACTTCCGCTCGGCCCGAAAATCGAGACGAATCGCATCGGAGGAATCAAAGTGAGCCCCGGCCCATCGAAATCTCGGGCGGGGCCCTCGAAATCTCGGGCGGGGCCGAAGACAGCTGCACGCGGCAGATTTCGTACCCCCCCCCTCTCCCTATCCAACCCCCTCTCGCTCGGCCCGAAAATCGGAGCGAACCGAATCGGAGGAAGCGAAATGAGCCCCCGAGGAGGCGGCGGCGTCGGCGGAGACGCTGGGCGGCCGTCGGCGGCCCTCGGCGGCGGCGCGCGCCGTCGTCGTCGTCGTCGTCGGCGGCGGCGGCGGCGGCGGAGAGGCGCGCCGCCGGGCTGCCGTCGCCGGCCGGCCAAGCCCGCAGTGAGGGGCAACGATACGCTGGGAGCGTTGACCTAAGGAACCCTAAGTAAGGAACGAGGCGCCCCTTCGAAAGTAACCATAAGGAACCCTAAGTAACCATAAGGAACCCTAAGTAAGGAACCCCAAGTAAGGAACCCTAAGTAAGGAACCCTAAGTGAGGAACCCTAAGGAACCCTAGTAAGGAACCATGGTAACCTAAGGAACCCTAAGTAGGGAGCCCTAAGGAACCCTAAGTAACCATAAGTTGAACTGCGATGTCCCTTCGAAAAACAGAAGGAACACATGAGGCAAGCTGCGAAACACTGAAGGAACGCGGAGCCCCTCCCCAACGAAAAGGGTTCCTTCGCCAGGGCCCCGACTGTAGGAGGGGATGCATCGACCTGGAATCGGCGATACATCGCCGATAGGTCGGCGAGAGGCCTCAGATGGTGGATCCGCACCTTCCTGGGCGGGTTGGGGCTGTTGGGCCCCCGGCGGCGATCAGTGGACGATTTCGGGTCAATGCATCCCACCCTATGCCTATCCCCCCCGATCGTTGTCCCTGACCCAGGAGGGGGGTCCGACCCCGGTCGTCGTCGTCGTCGTCGTGCTCGGGGCTCGAGCCAAACAGTTTTCGCTCTGCTGTCGTTTTTCTTCGTTCTCGCTTCGTTATGTGCCTCTGCTGCGAAAGGAAATCGAGAAAGGAAAATGGCCCATGGAATCGCCAAACCACCGTTTAGCTCGAGGCCTGGTCGTGCTCGTGCTTCCTTCCTGCCCGCCTCGTCTCTCCCCTCGTCATGGCAGGGGAGGGGGGCAGAGGGAGGGAGAAGGGAGAGGAAGATACCGGAGGCAGTGAGGACAGCACAACCCCCCCATACTTCCAGCCAGAAACCGCCGTTCCCGACCTGGTGATCCAAGAGGTCCTGGCCGGGGATGCACGGTAGTCCCACCAGCCCTTTGGGCGAAGGTAGTCTAGCGATATTTCTCTTTGGGCGGGTTTGTGCAGCCGTGGGGCACGAGGGGGGAAGTGGGGCTGTGGAGCCTGTGCGGTTGGAGGCCGTCATGAGATCCCACCTCTGCGAGGCGGTCATGGATCCCGCCGAGGGGTGCGCCTCGTACATCATGGCCGCGAGGCCGGCGACGTGGGGGCACGCCATGGACGTGCCCGAGCCGTGGGCAAGCGCATCGTTGCTGCCAATGTACGTCGAGAGGATGAACGTGCCAGGCGCCCAGACGTCGATGCAGGCGCCGTAATTGCTGAAGGGAGACATGGCTGATGACGAGCCCGAAGTCCCGCCGTAAGCTCCGACCGTGATCGCCGAGGCGACGTTCGCTGGAGTGTAGCCGCACGCATCCAGGTTCTGGTTCCCTCCGGCCACCACCACGGTCACGCCGTCAGCCACCAACGCGTCGATCGAGAGCTGTTCCGCGACGCTGGTGCCAGCACCTCCGAGACTCATGCTGACCACTGCTGGCCTCAAACCAGACGAATAAATCCACTGCTGCGCTAGAATGGCCCAAGAGGTGTAGCCTTCGCCGTTGTCGTCGAGGACCTTCATTGCCCAAATGGTCGCTCCATCCGCGACGCCATATAGCGCGGCCCCTACCGTTCCTGCGCAGTGGGTGCCATGCCCATTGAAATCCGCAGCGCACGTTGTGCTGCTTGGAGCGCACAATGTGAAACTCCCTGTGGTGCCCACGTCAACTCCTGCGAAGGCCCGGCCACCGAATAGTATGTGGGATGTGTGAATGCCGGTGTCCAGGACGTACACGTTCACGCCCACGCCACGCCCCCGATTCACGTGCGCATTAATGGACTGGATGCCCCATGGGTAGGCACGCCGCTCCATTGGACCGTCGTTTTCGTCGAGGGATTCCCAGATCTTCTTCTCTTTCTCATCCTCTTCGACAAACTCGACGCGCCCAGGGTGCTTCTCCAGCAGCGCCTGGAGCTCAGTGTCTGACAAGCGCCCTTCCACAATGGGCACCTCGCCCATGCTTGGATTGGTCTTCAGCGCCGTCGGATGGAGCTCATGGAGAAGAACTTGCAGCTCCGCATCGGTAGCATTCTTACTCAGCACGAGCATCCACGACTTTTCATCATCAGCATGACGCTCACCATCGGCGATACGGGGGTATATAGACACGCCAGCATGCGTGTAGAATTCTCGCCCTGGTATCCGCGACCACCCTTGTGGAAAAGAGGAGCGTCAGAATGATCATTTGTTGTCTGGTACGTGGGGACCATGTGCTTTGTCAAGCCCCCCCCCCAAACACCTAGAGCACACATACCAACAAAACCGCCCCCCTCCAATCGATATTCCTGGCACCCTTTCTGGCCGATGGATGGGCTCAGGACGGCCCACCCACGGACGCACCAACAAGGCTACACAATGTCCGAAGATCAGCCCAAAGACGGCCCAAACACCTTCCCAAGGCTACAAGATGTCTCCAATAATTCAAACGAGGCCCCAAAGAAGCCCCCACGAGGAGACCAAGGAGGTCTCTCGCGAAACCTTGGACGGCAACATAAGCTGTTAGCGTGTGAGTTTCTATGATGTTCAGCTTGGAAAGGGCGTGTTCTGCCGCTGCTGGCAGAAAACTGGGGGGGTCACTGGGGGGTTCAAACCCGTCCCCCCTGCCCCACCCCCCCCTCGAAAACCAGGGGGGGTCACTGGGGATTCCAACCCCCCCCCCTGGTCCATCATGAAAAAAGGGGGGGGGCACTACTGGTTCGACGAACCCCCCCCCCTCCTCGCCGCCGGCAAACGAATCCCCCTCCTCCCCCACTCCAGATGGGGGACTGTGGAAGGGACAGTGGTTGGAACGGTGGTGGGGATGGTGGTGGGGAGTGGGGACCGTGGGACAGTGGGGACAGTGGGGAGAGTGGGACCGTGGTGGGAATGGTGGTGGAGACAATGGGGTTAGTGCGACAATAGGTGGGGACAGTGGTGGTGGGGACAGTGGTGAGGGGACAGTAGAACTGCGGTGGGGGCAATGGAAACAGTGGGACAGTGGTGGGGACGGTGGTGGTAGGGACAGTGGTGAGGGGACAATGGAACAGTGGGAACAGTGGTACAGTGGGGACCGCGGTGGGGACGGTGGTGGTGGGACAGTGGTGAGGGCGGTGGTGAGGACGGTGGTGGGACAATGGGACAGTGGTACAGTGGGGACAGTGGTGGGGACAGTGGGGACAGTGGTGGGGACAGTGGTGGGGACAGTGGTGGCGACAGTGGGGACAGTGCGACAGTGGTGGGGGCACTGGTGGGGACACTGGGGACAGTGGTGGGGACAGTGGGGACAGTGGGACAGTGGTGGGGACAGTGGGGACAGTGCGAGAGTGGTGGGGACGGTGGTGGTGGGGACAGTGGGAACAGTGCGACAGTGATGGGGGCACTGGCGGGGACAGTGGGGACAGTGGTGGGAACAGTGGGGACAGTGGGGACAGTGGTGGGGACAGTGGGACAGTGGTGGGGACGGTAGTGGTGGGGACAGTGGGTGGTGAAGGCGGTGGTGAGGACGGTGGTGGGGACCCGGGAGTCGTTTGCAGGCGGCGAGCGGGGGGGAGGTGTTCGAACCGGTAGTGACCCCCCCCCTGGTCCCCCCCGGTTTTCCGAGGGGGGGGGAGGGGGGAGGGGGGGGTTCTTGCTGGGGGGGGGTTCGAGCAGGGGGGGGGATTTTTGGAGAGGGGAGAACCCCGGGTTCCAGAGGAAGAAGGGGGGGGGGGACAGAAATTGTCCATCGCAAAACGGCGGTGGATCACGCTCTCTCTAAGCTTTAAATCGAGACAGTTAACCGCCAGAAGCTACCAACAAGAACACAAGACGGCCCAACAAGGCCCAAAGAGGACCTCACGACGACCCCGAGACGGGGGCCTGAGAAAGCTTCATCGAGCTTCTTGTGAAGAGCAGACCCATCGCTACCCAAAACAACTCCGAGACACCCGACGGGCGATGCAGTAACCCCCCCACAAAACCAAAGAAAACCCTTATGGTGTTGTGAGTGGTACTACTTGTGCTTAAACCAAACGCCAACCCAAACTGGGCACTGGACTGGAACGGGTCTTAAATTCAATCTCCTTGTTGATGCGTCGTTGCGCTAGAGTGGCTGCGGAATCAGCCGGAAGCAAATGGATAATCAGGTGATTGTGATCCGTGATGTCACCGATGATTGTCTGCACCAACTCGAGGTCCCCTGCAACGGACAGGCCACATGCGCCGCGTGCCCAGACTAGGCTGGCGACTAGAAGATGGCGCGCCATCTTTGAAAGAAGTACGTACGTGATAGGAAACTACGCGTGAATGCAGTAAGTCTAAGGAAATGGTTCGAGTCACAAGTCTGCGAGACAAGTTCATAGGCGCCACGCCCGAAAGCACCTAGAGACACTGATGGACATGTTCCCCGCCAGAGAGGCCAAGTATGATGACACGGACAGCGCATCTCCGAAAGACGTGTCTCGACGAACCCCACATCTGATCAGCCGAAGATGCGCATGATGTAGCCATGCAGAGACTGTTCGCCTGGCTAGTACCCGATGGGGAATCAAATGGAGCAGGTGACAGGTCGCTCCACGCGTGCTGAGCTCGACTCAAGGGCACGAGGCCCTTGGACGTCAGCGTTGAGACATGTGCTAAAACGCGATAGGATTGCATATGGTAAGACATTTGCAGTGGCGTTGGGCCAGAACCCCCCGTGATGTGAGGGGGCCTCGTAGACATCTGCATGCAACTAATTCGAATGATGAGGAAGTTGGGGGGGATGGGCGCCGATCTGCCCATTGGGCTGGTCAGGATGATGGCGACGGTACCGCGGCGGATGACGAGGATGACAGCGTGGCTGACGGGAAGGGCAACGATTTGAGCAGGAGGACAACGAGTAGGAAGACAAGCGCGAGGACGAGGAACAGGAGGTGGAGGCGAACGAGTACGAGGAGGAACGAAGCGGAGAAGGAGAAGGAAGAGGAGAAGAAGAAAACAGACGACGACAACGAGGGATCGTGAAGCACGCCGCAAGGCGCATGAGACAATCGTAGGTGGCTGGCCACCCCCTCAGAATCCGAAGTGGCTGCCCGAGTCTCAGATGCGTAGCCGAGGCCACAGGGAGACTCCGCGAGATTTGCTTGCTTGCTCCTCCTCCTCCTCCTCCTCCTCCTCCTCCTCCTCCTCCTTCTCTTCCCGCTCCTCCTCCTGCGAGGATTTCAATAGGAATCCTTTTGCGGAGGACATCAATGGGGATGGAGGATTTCAATCGGAGTCTTTTTGCGGCGGATTTTGTAAGGTCCCAGGAAGGGCCCTGGGCGCCTGGAGGCCCAAATATCAGCGAATCGATGCCCGATACAGAAGGAACTCGAATCGTTCCGTTCCGGGCCTCACGAAGGCCCCTGGAGAGGCCCAGGGCGCACGGAGGCCAAAAAGTCAACGAACCGATACCAGATACAAGTAAAGTCAATCAGACAGGCCGGACGAGGAGGCGAAGGAGGAGGAGGAGGAGGAGCTCCAGTGCTTGTATACACCGGAGCGCTGGCAGCTACGAGCGCCGCGCTACGACCGACGCACCAATGCCTCTCAGAAACAGGACAACACTGCGTCCCTGAGAGCACCACGCGGCACGCACGCAACCGCATCCCCTCGCGAGTACCACGGCGTGCCTCTGAACACCACAGTCGCCTGCGAGCGCCACAGGACGTCCACGGCAGCCACCGGACGACCGCCACGACGTGAGGGAGGGGGGGGAGCGGGGCCGGTCACGCCCGTGATCGCCGGGAGGTCTTCCGAACGGGCTCCAGACCTCCAAAAGAAAGACCCGCAATGCGGGCGAACCTGTTGCTCAGCAAAATTGAGGGGCGGGGAGAACAGGACGGGGAGGCAGAGGACGAGGAGCCAAATGAGCAGTACGAGTCAAAGGAGGAGGAGGAGGAGGAGGAGGAGGAGGAACGACGAGAAGGGAAACAACCAATTCACGCATGTCTTTGTCGTGCAGTCCGCCACGACGGCGGCGACCGCGGCGGCGGCGGCGACGGCCACGACGGTGACAACGGCGGCGGCGCCGCGCGCCGCACGGAGCCCCGCCCCCGCCTTGGCCCCGAACTGCCGGCTGCCCAGGACGATGAGCCAGTCCTCCGGGGGCGCAGGCGCCCCCGGGGGCGAGCGCGGGAGCACGGACGGGCGGTGCGGGTGCCACGACGCTGGGCACCCTACTGGCGGCGCGCACAAGGGGGGTGGAGGGAGGGGGGAGGGCTTCGTCGGAGGAGGCTGCCTCTTAGAGGTCAGCATTCTTACATCTGTAGGTAAGGCCCGCGCCCTCCAAGAAGCAGGGGTGCTTCTGAGAAGCCCTCCCCCCTCCCCCCACCCCCCTCTGGGCGTGGCTGACCCTAACAGTCCTGGCATGTGATGTTAAATGTGTTTGAAATGTTGGAACATGTTCTAAGCATGTTTTACATCTGCTCAGATCATGTTTATACAGATGCGTAAGACATGTTCTAGGCATCTGGAAATGGTTTGGCAACAAGCTTCCTCTCCATTGATCACCCTCCACAAGATTGGCGATCAATGGACTTGGCGCGCGGTCGCCAAACCCATGCATCGGGGGAGGTGCCCGCCTCTGGATGCCACCTGAGGCCCCCAAACGTCCGACGTCGTGAATGCTTCATCACGTGGCCCCCCAGAGGTCGTTATAGGCTTAACGACTTCTGCCGTCCTTCGACTCGCGCTGGAGCGGCCGCGAAGTGCTCGAACTTTCCCTGGAGATCTCTGGATTTACCTGGATTTACCCAGATTTATCTAGATTTACCTGGATTTACCTCGATTCATCTGCATTTACCTGGGTTTATCTGGCTCGATTCTCACAAGTCGATTGGCGAAAAGTCGACAAGCCCTTAGGGAAGAGGACTGGGGACCCCTTCTCGGGGACTGGCTTTTTCCATCCCGAATCGTCTTCTGCAGGTGCAGCGGCCCGGGGAGGGCCCCCGGGGCCCGAGAACGGCCAGCAGCCTCCCGCCGAGAGACTCTGTTCTGCGACGCGAGGTCGGGGCCGATGGGCCACGACGGTGGGAGGACAGCTCAGGGGTGGAAGCGTTGACCTCGAGTCGGCGATAGATCGCCGAGAGATCGGCGATGGGCCCCCGATAGCGCATCCTGACCGTCCTGGGTGGGTGGGGCGGCCTGTCGGGCCCCCGTCGACGATGAGCGGGCGCTTGGGGGTCGGTATGTTGCCCCCATGGGCGTATGCATGCCGTGACATAGGACACCCCAACAATCCTACCATTGAAACGAAGTTGTTTCATCAGTGTGCTGAAAAATGGTTCGAAGATGTGTAAACATGCGTCTTACATGATTCAGACATGTTCAAAACGTGCTTAGGACATCTGGAAGAGATTTGGCAACATGCTTCCTCTCCATTGATCGTCGTCCACAACCCTGGGCCTATCCCCCCCTGTCGTTGCCCCTGAGGGGTCCTTCCGCGACCCAGGCACCCCTCGGCGCGAGGTTGGGGTCAGCGGAGATCCGACGCTGCTACAGAATGCAACAGCTCCAAACCACGACTGGAGCCCCACACCTCATCTCTGTCTGCTGCAGGCTCAGGTGTCGCGGGACTCCAAAGACGGGCGAAAGCGCACTCTGTGAAACAATTGTCACGCCCAGATCTCCGGGTCCTCCCGCGACCCAGGCGACCCGGCCAACTTCGGGGCGGCTGCCCGCAGATCGGCGGCGAGGCCGGGGGAGGTCGGAGGGAGAAGGCCTGCCCGGAAGGCGGCGGGGCCTCTCAGAAGCCTCCGCGCTGTCCGAGGCGTCGCCGGTGTCTCCCGAGCCTTCTGAGAAGGCCCACCCCCTTCTCACTCCTAGGACGAAAAGGCTGTCATGTTAAGATTGGCTCAGAATGCGTCCCAGGATTTCCAAGGCATCTAGCGGCCCTCATCTCTGGAGCCCGTGCAGAGCACTGTGGAATCTTGGAAATCCTGGGAGCCTCGGAAATCCTGGGTATCATTATCATGACCCCTTGATCTTTCGATCGAGAAGACGTACGACTTGGGTTGTGGGGACACAGGTTGGCCTGACTGGGCCATTAATGAAAATGACGAGACCCATTCTGAAATTTCACGCGACCTCCCGCTGCAAACATCCCACGAACACCGGACCGTGAAAATCCAGGACGCGCTCGTCACAAAACGTCGGCCAACCCGAGTTCCGGCTCAGTCGAGTCTTACGTTTCCCCCACCCCTTGCCATCGCTCGGACGCCCATTCCCCGTGCATGTGTTTGGCTCCGTGCGCGCAGGTGTTCGGTTTCCTGCGCGTTTGTGCTGCAGGATGTTCTAGGATGCTCCTCGTTGGCCCTCCTCGCCGAAGTCCTCCTCCTCCTCCTCCTCCTCCTCCTCCTCCTCCTCCTCAAAGAATGCATACGTCCACGCGATGCCAAGCCCCAGACTCGCCGTCGAACCAGGGTCGAGTTCGAGCGCTAGGGCTCCGCCCGTCCACGTCGGCCTGCCACGGGGGGGAGGCCTCGCGCCCCTCGGCGCGGCGGGGGCCGAGCAGGAGCCTCGTGACCCGGGCGGCAGCGGGAGAAGGAAGGGAGCGGCAACAGGAAGGGCATCCTCCTCCTCCTCAACATCCCCCTCCTCCTCCTCCTCCCTCTCCTCCTCCTCCTCCTCCTCCTCAACATCCCCCTCCTCCTCCTCAACATCCCCCCCTCCCTCCTCCTCTCCTCCTCCTCCTCCTCCTCCTCCTCCTCCTCAACATCCCCCTCCTCCTCCTCCTCCTCCTCCTCCTCCTCCTCCTCCTCCTCTCCTCCTCCTCCTCCTCCTCCCTCTCCCTCTCCCTCTCCTCTCCCTCTCCTCTCCCTCTCCTCCTCCTCCTCCTCCTCCTCCTCCTCCTCCCCCTCCTCCTCCTCCTCCTCCTCCTCCTCCTCCTCCTCCTCCTCCTTCCTCCTCCTCCTCCTCCTCCTCCTCCTCCTCCTCCTCCTCCTCCTCCTCCTCCTCCTCGTCCTCTCCTCCTCCTCCGCCTCCTCCTCCTCCCCCTCCTCCTCCCCCGTCTACCCCCACTCCCCCGACTCGGCTCAGGACCCCGTGCTTCTCCCCCTTGAATATAATGGCGTCATATGTCGAAAGCCTCCAGATGCTGCCTTGCATATTGCTGGTGGATTTTTCCACCCCAGTCACAAGATGCAGTATCACGGAGACCTGCAGCTTTGGTATTGTGTCGGTTGTGGCAGCTTCGGGTCTCAGCAGCTTCTGGCCCTTGGGAGAGTGTGTGTGTGTGTGTGTCATGCCCCCCACTCCCACCAGGGCGGAGTATCTGCGACGAACATCCCAGGGCTCGTGGCCAAAGATCCTGAGTAGGGCCGAGAAGGCCTCCAGGCGCAATGTGTAGATGTGGATTGATTGACTCAGTCATATGGTCCTCCTCCTCCCCCTCCTCCTCCTCCTCCTCCTCCTCCTCCTCCTCCTCATCCTCATCCTCATCCTCATCCTCATCCTCCTCCTCCTTCTCCCCTCTTCCTGCTCCTCCTCCTCCTCCTCCTCCTCATCATCATCATCAGCATCAGCATCAGCATCAGCATCATCATCATCATCATCATCATCATCATCATCAGCATCATCATCAGCATCATCATCATCATCATCATCATCAGCATCAGCACCAGCACCAGCACCAGCACCAGCATCAGCATCAGCATCAGCATCATCATCATCATCATCATCATCATCATCATCATCATCATCATCATCATCATCATCATCATCATCATCATCATTACTCTCCTCCTCTCCAGGTCACAGGTCACCCAACTTCGCGCGTCGCGCCCCGCGCGAACACCTTGCGGCCCTCGTGAGGCAACGGGGCTGCCTTAAAGGGAGACTGAATTGATATTGCTTAATGTCAACCTGTACTCACACACACAGAAACCCACACACACACACACACACACACACACACACATAAACACACACACACACACACACAAACCGCATCCCACTTCACTTCAGGCGCACAATCCACGACAACCACTTCCGCACGAGAGGCCGATTGCGAAGACGGCATGGAGCACCCAGAGAGCCCCCCCGCCCTGCCCTGCCTTTCCTCCTCGCCCCTGCCGCAAGCCCTGCCGCGCCGCGGGGGCGTCGCCGGCGGCGCCGCGGGGGCGTCCTGCTCGTCCAGCTCGAGGTTCGGCATCGGCGCCTCACGTCGCCCGGTCGCCGGGCGGGACCGGATGGAGCCGGCGGCACGAGGCGGGCGAGCTCCTCCTCAACCAGTACACCCTGCGAAATGCTTAAGAAATCATGGGTTAAGAAATTCATAGTCTCAGAATTTGATTATAAACCCAGAATTTCGATTGAAATCTTAGGATTTACATTGAAACAGTAAGAATAATCGAGACTCTGGCCGAAGCCTTACGTTTTCGTAAGCAACGCCTAGGGTGTATAGGGGAAGGATGAGGGATGAAGAGCCAACGCGGACCCCCGAAATGGTGTGCGCGTGTGCACACTGTTGTTTTCTTCGGGGCCAGGGTCTGCCTCGAGCCTCCTCGATGCTGGGGTCTCGCTCCTCATGCCCGAGGCCCGAGCCTGGCGAGCGGCCTGTCGCGAAGGTGGCCGTGCCGAAGCGCCTCTGGGAGGCCGTCTCGGTCCCCATCGTGCAGGCACTGTTGAGGACACCAGACGTTAGCGACACCGTTCCTCCCTGGAGCTCTGCCGGGGTGCGTTCTGCCCAGGAATTCCAAGCGAATCCAGCGGTGGCGACGAGGGCCTCCCAGGAGGCCCGAGACAGGGAGAAAACGAGGGCAGAGTGGTGGCATGAGCACCTGTCCCTCCGCTCCGAGTTCTTGCGCACGGCGGGGCGTCACGAGCACTGAGCTCGCGCTGGGGAGGCTCCTCGGAGAAGGCGGTACAGCGGCACCTCGTGGAAGAGGAGGGGGCCCGGCGGTCCAGCGAAGCGCGGCACCAGGGTCAGCCAAGGGCCAACTCCCCCGCGCAAGCTCCGCGCGAGCCTCGCCCACGGTTCCTCGCCGGGGTGCTCTTGGCGGGAGGCTGTCATCCCAGGCGGCGCGCCGTGGGGGGGGAAGAGAGGCGGGGCGGGCTTTCTCCGAAGGCTCGGAAACCTGGCCTCCTGTAAGTTTTCTGGGTCTCCCCCGGAGACACAAACTATCCTGACCAAGGACAAAACCATGTGCAGTTGTGGTGAGTAACGCGTTGTGGGTGCCGCTTTCGGTGGAGCTCCCTATGGGGCCACGAAACGCGACGCATGCGGGCGGTGCCACTGGGGCCTTCGGTGTGGCAGACGCATGTGGCCATCCCCACTGGGGCCGTAGGTGTAGCTCCCTATGGGGCAACGAAGCGCTGTACTGGGTGTGGCGGACGCATGTGGCCACCCCCACTGGGGCCTTAGGTGAAGCTCCCTATGGGGACACGAAACGCTGTAACGGGTGTGGCGGACGCATGTGGACACCCCCACTGGGGCCTTAGGTGGAGCTTCGTATGGGGACACGAAACGCAATACTGGGTGTGGCGGACGCATGTGGACACCCCACCTGGACCCTTAGGTGCTGCTCCCTATGGGGCCACGAAACGCTGTACTTGGTGTGGCGGACGCATGTGGCCACCCCCACCGGGGCCGCAGGTGGACCTCCCGATGGGGCCACGAATCGCAGTACTGGGTGTGGCGGACGCATGTGGCCACCCTCACTGGGGCCGCAGGTGGAGCTCCCTCGGTAAAGGCGCACGGCTGCAACCAATGCCGTGTGCGGCTGGAAAAACACATGCTAGTTGAAAGTGCAGGGCTGGAACCCACGCCGTGCGCGGCTGGAACGCTCGCGCTCGGTAGAAATGCATGGATGAAACCCGCGCCGTTAGCGGATGGAACGCTCCCGCTGGGTAAAAACGCATGGCTGCAAGCCACACCGTGCGGCTGGAACGCTCACGCTAGGTAAAAATGTATGGTTGGAACCCACGCCGTGGGCGCGCGGCTGATACGCTCTGGCTGAGCTGGAACCCACACCGCGGGCGGCTGTAACACTCGCGCTGGGTGAAAGGTAAAGGCTGGATCCGACACCGTGGGCGGCTGGAACACCTTCCCTTGTAGAAATGTTAGGCTGAGGCTGGAACCGCACCCGGCCCAGAACTGTAAACACCTTACACCTACTAAATCGTGGGACGGGGGGGGGACGGGCCAGGGGCGGGAGTGCTAACACTGCGAGCTCGTCTGTTGGTCAGTCGGTCTGTCAGTCGTCGTCGTCGGTCGTCGTCGTCTCCGTCCGCCGGTCGGTCGGTCCATCGGCCGTCATCGGTCGTCGTCTCGGTCAGCGGCCCGTCGGTCGAACGATCCGTCGTCATCGGTCGTCGTCGTCTCGGTCGATTGGTCGGTCCGTCGTCCGGCCACGTCGTCGGTCAGCGGGCCGTCGGGCGTCGTTTCGGTCGTCGGTCCTCGGTCCACAGCCGGAATCCAACCACGCCATGGCGCGCGCTGGAAGCGCTTCACTGGAGTCAAAGCGCTTACGGGTGAAACGAGGTTGAGAGCCAGACGTTGGACCCAAAATTTGCCGGACATGATACGCTCATCAAAAGTTCACTACCAGCATCAACGGGGAGACGTAGGACTCGGGTTTCTGGGGACTCGGGTTGGCCCGACGGGGCCATCATAAAATGTCACGACCCAGTCTGAAATTTGATGCGGGCTCCCGCTGCACACATCCAATGAAAACTGGACCGTCAAAACTCAGAAGGGGCTCGCAAAATAAGCGCTTGCGAACCCGAGCTCCGGCGCACTCAAGCCTTGCATCTTCCCGAAAATAGTCCACTGACTGTGGAAGAACAAACAACGACAGAAACCGGAGCGGGCCCAGCGGCACCGGAGCCGCCAGCGGTGCCCAGCGCCGACCCGAGAAACCGGCGCGGGCCTTCGAACGTTATTGATTATACCACTGCTTTCCTCCCCCTCGCCTCCCCTCCCCCTTCCCCTCCCCCTCCACTGCCCCCTCCCCCTCGCCTCCCCCCCCCTCACCCTCGCCTCTCCCCCTCCCCCTCGCCTCCCCCTCCCCTCCACAATTACACAATATGAAAATACTCTCCCACTTCCCCTGATGGCGTCCCGAAGATATCCGACCCCCCCCCGCGCACTGTTTTCTTAACACACACAGGATTCCCGGGAAACGGGTTTTCGCTTGCGTTTTTTTTTCAAATTGCTGCTCTCGCTGAGGCGCCGGCCTCATTTCTGCTCCCGAATCGTTCCGAATCGTGCTCCCGCTGCAGCGTGGGCCCCTATTTTCGGATCGGTGTTTGGCCTCCGTCGTTCAGGATGGCGTTCTCGCCCCAGCGCGGGCCTCTTTCTCGCGCGCCCATCCGCCCGCCACCACCGCGCCGCACCACCACCACCACCACCACCACCACCACAACCACCACCAGCACCACCACCACCACCACCACCACCAGCACCACCACCACCACCACCACCACCACAACCACGCACACACGCACGCACGCACGCACGCGCACCACCACCCACTACGCGCGCGCGCGCGGAGCCGCAGGTCCGCTACGGCACGCGTCCGCGAATAGAGAAAATCAGCGCCACGGTAAGGGATGGGAGGGAGGGGTAGGACGTCAGACATGACGCGAGCGCACCTGGCCTGGCGCCTCCACCTCCCCTCCTCCCGCTCGCCCATCCGCAGCCTGAGCCCGGCAGGCCCCCTGCACTCAAAACTGACAGTAAGGATGCGCGATAAAAGGATGCAGGGGCATCGGCAGGTCGAGCCGACGCTCCTCGAGCGGGGCTGGGCCGCGGAGAGTGGCTGAGAGGCACGGGTGCAAGGGTACCCTTACTATCACTTTCGACTGTACACTTTACGTTGCTCCCATCATCCTTGAGGACCACATCCCAGAAATCATTTCGAGCACCAGGAAAAGTGTCGAGAGAGTGCCCAAAGAGTGTCGAAACAATGTCGGACGAGCGTCTCCCAGGGCCCGACACCACGTGCAAACCCTCGAGTTGTTGGGGTACTCGTCAGGTGCTCGAAATTTTCTTTCTGGTGATCAAGGCTAAAATAGGTTGGAGCATCATAACCTTACTATCTTTGGACGCCCGAGATGGGTACGGAAAGAATGGGTACACTGCCCAACAACAAATGTTGTCCCAAACCAACAGCGGCCGCTGTTGGGCAGGCGGCCTCCTGTCTCGAATGGGCACTGGCCGCGGCGGCATGGACAGCGAGTCCTGCTCAAAATGAACATTCTATCCGCTGTTGGGCATTGAAAGTAAAGGGAAAACCACTCGACCCTTGAAGTAGGAAGGCGCTGAAAGTAGATTGGAATCTGGGAATCCAAAAATACCTACTCTCAACGACCGATGGGTATCGGTTTCGACTGTACCCTCCCCCCTGCTCGGGGGCCGGCGCCAGGATGCTGTAGCTGCCGCTTCCCGTGCCGCCCGCCTGCGGGCCCAGCCCCGACGGGCTGGGGCGGGCGGCCGCCGCCGCACGTCATCGCCGCCGCCGCCGCCACCGCCGCACGTCCTCGCCGTCGTCGACACCGCGGCCGTCGCCGCCGCCGCCGTCGCCGCCACTGCTGAAGGGGCCCTGAGACACACAAATAGATACACACAAATAATTAACAGGACTCCCCATATTCCCCCATCTTTTCTGGGCTTTTGTCTTCTTATATCTTCTGGGGATCGACGATTAATTGTGTCTGTGTGTTTCTTTCCCTCCTGAACCACCCTCGTCGGCGCCGCCGCTGCCACCGCCACCGCCGTACGTCCTCGCCGTGGCCGTCACCGCCGTCTGCAACGCCAGCGTCGCCACCTTCGCCTTCGACGCCGCCGCCGGCGTTGCCATCGCTTACCGTCGCAGTCGCCGGGCGGGCGGAGCAGGCACATCTCCCTCATTTCCCACCTGCCCTCCCTTGCCTGCTACCTTGGACTGCCCATCCCAATACCTCAGCCTTCAAAAGACCATATCAACGTCGTCATCACATTCCTCATCCCCTTACTCTTCCTCCTCATCACCATCGAAAAAAAACCACCACCATCACCCTCATCAGCATAACCACCACCACCACCACCACAACCATCATCATCATCATCATCATCAGCAGCAGCAGCATCATCAGCGTAACCATCATCATCATCATCAGCATCATCATCATCATCATCATCATCATCATCATCATCATCATCACCATCATCATCATCATCATCATCATCATCATCATGATCATCACCATCATCATCATCATCAGCACAATCATCCTCATCAGCATCATCATTACCAAATTCATCATCCTCAAAATCATCATCATCAGCAACACGAGCATCATCATCAGCATGAACATCATCAGCATCATCATCATCGTCATTATCAGCATCGTCATCCTCATCATAAGCATCGACATCATCATCATCATTAGTATCATCATCATAAGCATAAGCAGAATCATCAAACTCAGCAGCATCGCCACCATCATAACCAGCATCATCGTAATCACCATCGTCATCATCAGCATCGTCGACGGCATCATCATCGACATCATCAGCATCATCGCCATCAGCAGTATCAGCATCATACGCATCAACATCAGCATCAACATCGTCATCACCACCACTACCACCATCATCAACATCATCATCAGCATCGTCGTGTGCGTCGTCGACGTCACCCTCATCATCATCATCATCAGCAGCATCATCATCAGCATCATCACCATCAGCATCAGCATCATCATCCTCATCATTCTCATCTCCATCATCATGAGCAGCACCAACATCATCATGGTCATCATGAGCAACATCAAGTTCGGCCTCATCAAAAATATCGTCATCAGCATCATCATCGTCATCATCACCATTGTCATCAGCACCATCATCCTCATCAACATCGTCGTCATCGAAATCGTCATTGTCACTACCACATAATTATCACCATCGCAATCATCCTAATTTCTGCTCAGTATTATCATCATCATCATCCTCATCCTCATCCTCATTTTTCTCGGTATCCTCATTATCACCATCATCGTCGTCATCATCGTCATCGTCGTCCTCGACGTCATCGTCGTCAGCAGCAGCAGGATTATCCGCCGCATCGCTGACTCCTCGACTTTCCCCGTCTCTCCTCCTCCTCCTCATCCTCCTTTTCACTGGCCCTCCTCCCTCCTCCTCCTCCTCTTCCTCTCCCTCCCCCTTCCTCCCCCGTCCCACCCTCCCTCCTTCCTCCTCCTCCTCCTTCCCCATCTTCCCCCCATCAGGGAGGCGACTCTGCAGACCAAGACTGTTGAGGAAACCAGCAAGCAAACCCAAGGTAACATCCGACCGCTCAAGAAGGGGCGGGGAAAAGCAAGCAAGCGAAATAACGATTAATCGCCCTTCAAATCACAAAGCACGCAAACGACAACGTATTCCCAAACCCCCTCGAAGACAAACTAGAGCAACAAACGGACTGGTATTCTGAACGATCATGACTAATACTATGTTGAATGTATCTTCTGGTACGCCCCACCGCTAAACCCACGCACAACGCCGTCTCGAATAACGCAGTACTTTGTGCGGCTTATGCTTCGGCGCGCCCCCGCCCCCAGGGCCCTCCACGAACCACGACCGCGAGCGACAACGACGAGCACTGCGCTCCAGCTGTCCTTTGGCCCGGCGGCCTCGGGGGGGCAGAGGGCTCCAGGTGCCCCCCGGATCTCCGCAGAACTCGCCGAGGCCTGCCCAAACTCCGGAGTGCCTCCGGGGACTTCTCGATGCCCGGGGGCCCGGGGGGTCGGCGGCAAGTGGCCCCTGCAGGAGCTGCTCCCCGCGGCCGCGCAGCCGCCAGAAGCCTCGAGGGAGCCTCGGGGGAGCTCCGGGGCGCCCCTCGAGGTGACCCCAGAAGACCCGCAGATGCAGCAAAGCCAAGGCCGCCAGAACAGCAGGCACGCAGAAGGCCCCGACGCCCTTCTCCCGCTCCTGCAGACAGAAGACAGCAGGCAGACGCTGGGCGAAGACTCCTGCACCCGAAAGCCCGAGTCGCCTCCCTGACCCCCCCCCCGCGCGCGCTCCTGGGACATGCGCACGGGCCTGCCCACGCGAGAGGAAGGACGGAGGACGGACTCCGCTGTTCGACGGTGGACACATCTCCCTGTAGCAAACCACCCTTTTAGTGAAAACGGCCTGGGACCGAAACCGACGGACCTGGACCTGCAAGAATGACCTCCGCGACGCCCTCTCGCGAACCGAAAACGGCCAATTCGCTAATCGACGCATCAGGAAAATCAGGAGGACGTCCGCGACCACGACGGTCCCGCCGCGTCCCCCCCGCGAGGGCGCCCCTTACCAGCCTGGAACATATCCCTATCCCTATGCTGGGCACCTCCTCATCACGACTCCAATCTTAGGGATTCCCCCATTTCTTGAGGGCACATCCCTAAGATTGTCGTCGCCTTTTGGCGTGCCAGTCTTAGGGATAGGGATACGTTCGAGGCTGGTAACCATCGCCAGCGACGACGACGCACGCGACGCCGGGGGCGATGCCGAGCTCGGCCGCGGCGGCGATCCTCCTCCTCCTCCTCCTCCTCCTCCTCCTCCTCCTCCTCCTCCTCCTCCTCCTCCTCCTCCTCCTCCCCCCCCCGCGAGGGCGCCCCCCCCTCTCCCGGCGCGCCCGCTCCGGGCATGCGCCGTGGTTGTCCCGGGAGCGGTTGCGGTAGATCGCCAGCGGCACGACGGGGCCCACCTGGCGAGACGGGGCCCCGCGCGCCCGACGCGCCGCCGCCGCCGCCGCCGCGGCCGAGCTCGGCACCGCCCCCTCGCCATCGCTCGCACGCTCGGGAGCTCCCGAGCGAAGCGAACCCCACCCTCCCCCTCACCCAGACCCCCTCGAGTTATGAAAAATCACCGGGAGGTTTCTCATTATTTTTGGCCTCTGGGGGCCCTTACCGGCCCTCGGGACCGTCCAAAAACGACTCAGGACGAAAAACCGGTCCCGGGGAATGGGTCCAGACAGCTGGGGGTCGACGTCATGAAAAATTCACGACGTCGGGGGTCTGGGCAGAAATCGTGGGGGGTAGGGGTAGGGTTCGCATGTGGCCCCCTACAGGCCCGTCCTGGGCCCAGGATCGGTGCCATCGACCGCGCGCCAGAGCGACCCCGGGCAGGAGTGACCTCTGGGGCGCGGCCGCATCGGGGGCGCGTGGCGGCCAAACCAGGCCGCGCAGGCCGCAAGCGGCAAGGCTCCCGGGCCTGGGAAAACGAAAAGGGACCGATACCGCTGCTCCCCGGACCTCCCGGCGCGCGTTCTGACCAGGACTTCGAGGCGAAGCCGACGGTGGCGACAAAGGTTCTCCCAGGAGGCCCAAACAGAGGAAAACGAGGGAAAAGTAGCGCTTAGTGGGCCCTGGAAACGGCAGGGCATTTTTTCACCGCTTCCGAAAAAAAAACCTTGAAAATGGAAACGACAAAAAAAAAGCGACCGGAAACGGCAACAAAAACGGCTCCAAGATTGGAACCGGAGCCGGAACCGGTCAAAAAACGGCGACGGAACCGTTAAAAAAACGGCGTCGGAACCAACAACAAAATGCAAAACGGAACCGGTAAAAAAAACTGCCCTGTCGTTTCCAGGGCCCACTAAGGCGACGAGGGTCTCCCAGGAGGCTCAAACGGGGGAAAACGAGAGAAGGGTAGCGGTAAGTCGGGCCTGTTCCCCTACAGGCCGATTTTGGGCGAAAAAATAAAAATACCCGAAAAATGCAGTGCGAGCCACGGCCCGGCCGCTATTCCGAGGAATTTCTGGGATTTCTGGAATTTCTAGATTTTCCACGAATTTCTGGAATTTCTGGAATCTTTGGAATTTCTGGAACTTCTGCGGTTGCTAAGAATTTCTGGAATTTCTTGAATTTCTGGAATTTCTTGAATTTTATGGAATTTCTGGAAATTCTGCAATGTCTGGAATTTCTGGATTTCCTAGATTTCTGGATTTTCTTGAATTTCTGGGTCTCCTCTGAATTTCTGGAATTCATGAATGTCCAATGAAATTCTAGAATTTCTTGCATTTCTGGAATTTCCGGAGTGTTTGGATTTTCTTTTGATTATCTGGAATTTCGGGAATTTCTTGCATTTTCAGATATTCCAGAAATTCTAGAAATTCCAGAAATTTCAGGAACAACAAATATTCAGAGCATTCCTGGAATAGAGAAAGTGCGTGGTGAGTGGCGCATTGTGAGTAGTGCGTTGTGAGTATATCTGGGTAGTGCGTTGTGAGTATATCCAGAAAATCCCGACATTCCAGAAATCGAAAAATCCAGGGAGTTTCACAAACCCATTAGGTCCTCAGAAAAGCAAGGCCGTGAGTAGAGAGTAGGGGATACGGAGCGAGTCGTTGGCCGCGAGTAGACAGTAGGGGATAGGGAGTGGGGAGTAGGGAGTAGTGAGTCGTGAGTCGCGGGTCGTGAGTAGTGAGTGTGTAGTTCTCAGTAGGGAGTAGCGAGTAGGGAGTAGCGAGCAGCGAGGTGCGAGTAGCGAATTGCCAGTAGGGAGAAGGGAGTAGCGAATTGCGAATATCAAGTTGCGAGCAGGGAGAAGGGAGTAGGGAGACAGGAGTAGCGAGTAGCGAGTAGCGAGTAGCGAGCAGCGAGGAATGCCTGGCTCCAGGAATTCCTCTGAATAGCGGCGCTGGCCCTGGCCTTGTCACTAGGGTGTAGTGAGTGCTCGGTAGTGAAAACTGGGTAGTGAGTCGTGACTGGTGCGTACTGGGTGGTGCGTAGTGGGTGGTGGGGTAGGGATCGGGTTCCGGAGCCAGGGGGCCCCCTTTTCAAAGGGAGGGGGGGGCCTAAGATGCCCCCCAAGACGGGCCCAAGAGGACTCCAGGACTACCCCAGACACTTCCCAAACGCACTAGATGGTCCCAAGACGGCCAGAAGTCGGCTCGGAGGAGGAGGAAGAGGAGGAGGAGGAAGAGGAGGGTGATGAGGATGAGGATGAGGATGAGGACTCGGGGGAAGGGGAGGGGGATGAGGAGGAGGAGAAGGAGGAGGGGGAGGATGAGGACAAGGAGGAGAAGGAGGATGGTGCTCGTCGTCGTCGTCGTCGTCGTCGCCGCCGCCGCCTCTCTCTATCTCGCGCGCGCCGCTCCCGAGGGAAGTGTGTGAGGAGGAGGACGACGACGACGACCGACGACGACGACGACGACGACGCAGAAGAGGATGAGGATGAGGAGAGGATGAGGAGGATGAAGATGAGGAGGAGGATGGTCCCGTCGTCGCCGTCGCCGTCGCCGTCGTCGTCGTCGTCGTCGTCGTCGCCGTCGCCGTCGCCGTCGCCGTCGCCGTCGCCGTCGTCGTCGTCGTCGTCGTCGTCGTCGTCGTCGTCGACGTCGTCGTGTCGTCGCTCGTCGTCGTCGTCGTCGTCGTCGTCTTCGTCGTCGTCGTCGTCGTCGCCCCGCCCCGTCCCGCCCCGCGCGCGCGGGCGCGTGCTTGCGCGGCCGGGCCGGTGCAGGATGATGATGGTGATGAGGAGGAGGAGAAGGACGAGGAAGGATGATAAAGACGAGGACGCTTATGATGATGATGATGATGATGATGATGATGATGATGATGATCGTCATCATCATCACCATCATCGTCATCGTCATCATGATCAACATCATCATTATCGTCATCATCATCATCATCATCGTCATCGCCATCATCATCGTCACCATCATCATTACCATCATCGTCATCGTCATCGTCATCATGATCAGCATCATCATCATTATCGTCATCATCATCATCATCAGCATCATCATCCTCGTCTTTCTCATCCTTCCTCGTCCTTCTCCTCCTCCTCCTCCTCATCATCACCATCATCATCCTGCACGGGCCCGGCCGCGCAAGCACGCGCCCGCACGCGCGGGGCGGGACGGGGCGGGGCGACGACGACGACGACGACGACGACGGACGACGACGAAGACGACGACGACAACAACGACGACGACGACAACGACGACGACGACGACGACGGCGACGGCGACGGCGACGGCGACGGCGACGGCGACGGCGGCGACGACGACGACGACGGCGACGGCGACGACGACGACGGCGACCATCCGTCCTCATCTTCATCCTCCTCATCCTCATCCTCCTCATCCTCATCCTCTTCTGCGTCGTCGTCGTCGCCGGTCGTCGCCGGTCGTCGTCGTTGTCGTCGTCGTCGTCCTTCTCCTCCTCACACACTTCCCTCGGGAGCGGCGCGCGAGAGAGTGGCGGCGGCGGCGACGGCGACGGCGACGACGACTGACGACGACGACGACGATGTCCTCCTCATCCTCCTCCTCCTCCTTTTCCTCCTCCTCCTCCTCCTCATCATCATCATCCTCCGACTCCTCATCCTCATCCTCATCACCCTCCCCTCCCTCCTCCTTCTCCTCCTCCTCCTCTTCCTCCTCCTCCTCCTTCTCCTCCTCCTCCTCCTTCTCCTCCTCCTCCTCCGAGCCGACTTCTGGCCGTCTGGGGACCATCTTGGGCGTTTGGGAAGCGTCTGGGGCAGTCCTGGAATCCTTTGGGGCCCGTCTCGGGGGGCATCTTAGGCCCCCCCCCTCTCTTTGAGAAGGGGGCCCCCTGGCTCCGGAACCCGATCCCTACCCCACCGCCCGCTACGCACCACCCAATACGCACCACTCACGACTCTCTACTCAGTATTCACTACTCAGCACTCACTACACCCTAGTGACAAGGCCGAGACGGCGCCGCTATTCAGAGGAATTCCTGGAGCCAGGCATTCCTCGCTGCTCGCTACTCGCTACTCGCTACTCCTTGCTCCCTACTACCTTCTCCCTACTCGCAACTCGATACTCGCAATTCGCTACTCCCTTCTCCCTACTCGAAATTCGCTACTCGCAACTCGCTGCTCGCTACTCCCTACTCGCTACTCCCTACTGAAAACTACACACTCACTACTCACGACCCGCGACTCACGACTCACTACTCCCTACTCCCCACTCCCTATCCCCTACTGTCTACTCGCGGCCAACGACTCACTCCGTATCCCCGTGATTTTTTTTCTGAGGACCTATTGGATTTCTGACATTCCTGTGATTTTTCGATTTCTGGAATGTCGGGATTTTCTGGGTATACTCACAACGCACTACTCAGATATACTCACAACGCACTACTCACAATGCGCCATTCACCACGCACTTTCTCTATTCCAAGAATTTCGTGAATATGTCTTGGAAATTTGGAATTTCTGGAATTTCTGGAATGTCTGGAATGTCTGGAATGTCTGGAATGTCTGGAATTTCTGGAATTTCTGGAGCGTTTGGAGTTTCCGGAATTTCTGGAATCTTCTAGGAATTTCTGGAACTTCTGGAATTTCTGGAATGTCTAGAATTTTTAGAGTTTCTGGAATTTTTTGGAATTCTGGAACTTCTGGATTTTCGTGGAATGTGTAAAGTTGAAACACCTCTAAGCAGAATTCCCAACGCACACTTCAAACAAAGGAATCCCAGAAATTCCAGAAATTCCAGAAAAATTCTGGAAATTCCAGAAATTGCAGAAATTCTAGAAATTCCAGAAATGCCAGAAATTCCAGAAACTCCCCAGGATAGCGGCGCCGGCCCTGGCCTGCAATGGAATGACCCACGAATGTTCAAAAATGGTTAAAAGATAATCCCCAGACTATTTTTCTAGTATTTTGCAGATGAATGCGACCCGAATCGAATCGAATCAGAATCGCAGCCCCAGCTGGCGAATCAAATCGGGTCCAGACGGCCCTGGCAAAGCCTGGCGGGTATGGCCGCCAGGTCGTGCGCTCAAAGCCGACATATCGACCACGGCCTGGACCCCAAATCGGGCCTGGCCAGGCCTGGCGGTGGTGCACACACGGGGCTGCAAAGGTGGACGCCAGCCAAATAGGGTCCGATTAAGGTGGGGTCAAAAGATCGCGCCGCATCGCCAGTGCATCGGCGATGCATCGGCGTTGCATCGCCGATGCGTCGGCGATGCATCGGCCACGTCGGCATGGAGAGAATCTGGCCCCACGTCGCCAGTGCATCGGCGGCGATGCGGCGCGGCCCACCGACCTCTCTACTTCGACCCGACTTGGGCGGCCTGAGCGTAAAAACAACCTGAACAACGAATGCGGGGTACCTCAACGAAACGCGGCGGCGCGCCCCTGGGGACGGGCGGGGGGGGGGTCAGACTTCCTGCCTCCCCAACGGGAGAGGGGTCCTCCCACCCCGCGAGGAGCCCTCCTGCTTGTGAGGCTACTTCGGAGGGCGAGGGCTCCGAGAAGCCCCCTCGCCTGCTGAGGACGCCGGCCCTCTCGCCCTTTACCCAGGGGGTGGGCACATCTGGATATCGCTGGAGGCCCGAAGAAAGCCAGAAAAGCCCCACATCCACGCTCATCCTCCTCCTCCTCCTCCTCCTCCTCCTCCTCCGCCTCCTCCTCCTCCTCCTCCTCCTCCTCCTCCTCCTCCTCCTCCTCCCCCTCCTCCTCCTCCTCCTCTTCCTCCTCTTCCTCCTCCTCCTCCGCGGATAGGGATGAAGAGGCCTCTGGCGACCCTGACGGGTCAAGGGGGATTAAACATATTCCCCCACCTCCATACAACGACTACACCAATGGCGGCGGCCATGTCGACGACGACCACAACGAGGACGACGATCACGACGACGAGGACGACGACGACAACGACGACGACGACAACGACGACGATGACGACAACGACGGTGGCGACGAGGCCGTCGATGGCGACGAAGACAACGACGGCGACGGCGGCGATGACGACGGCTGCGAGCGGATGCCTCCTCCGACTCAGGGACGCTGGGGACGCTGAACGTGGACGGGGCCGCCGACGCGTCCGTGGGTGATCGACACGGGGCCGTCGCGGCTCGCCCAAACCGCGAAGGCGTCTTGGGCGTCTTGGGCGTCTTGGGCGTCTTGGGCGTTAGGGGCTCGAACGAGTCCTTGTGCGAGTCCTCGCCCTCCTGGCGCAGGGAGGCCGAGGACGACGGCGAGGACGCGGTGGCGACGGCGACTCAGACATCATCGCGCCGCGTGAGCCACACAAACGGCCGAAACGCGTTGACAATGTTTGGCCTCCAGGGCCCTTACCAGGCCTGGGGACCGAGAACAAAACGGCTCGTGATGAGAAAGCAGCAAGGGGGGAAGGGGCCGCGATCTCTTTGGGCCCTGCTGCGCAAGGATCAGAACGGAGCGCTCCTCTCCCAAGAGGCCCTCGCAGGGTGCCCCGAGGGTGCCCCGCTGGGGCGTCCTGGGCGAGACCCCCCAGCGAGTGCGCCTAGCGATCGAGCAGAGGGCAACGGATCGAGGCTGAAAGAACAACGCTTAGGAGCATCTTCCCGAGTTTCTGCCCCGGGTGCCAATTGCGCCGAAGAGGTTAGCGCATCACGGCCCGAGGCAGCTGGACGTGACGGCGTGCGACGTATTGTTGAACATCCAGTGACAATGCTACATCCTGGAGGAGGGTACACGTGGCATTGCCCACGAAAGGCCGACAAACGAGATCCTGCTTACCGGTCGGGTGGGGAGGATATTGGCATCGATTATACAGCGCCGGCTGGTTTTAGGAGGGGCGGAAACACGAATGCGGCATTCGCAAGGATGGGTTCCGATCGCGCCCTTTTGCTGGCGGCGCACTCATGTTGACGCTTTGGATGCCCGACGGAGCCCACTAGCACGGCAACGGTGGGCTGACATTGTTGCGGGTTTAGACAAAAACATATAGCATATTGTTACTCTAGTGTGCGTGCAAAGCCGTTGGACGCTTCGGTCTACAACGGCTGTATGGTGATGACACGGTAATCGTAGATCATGCTGGTCGCCCTTCAGAACGACTGCAGCGCGCACCGATCTTGACTTACCCCCAGCTTGATAGTTTCCATCAACAGATGCTGGAAACAATCGCGGGGAAGGAAAACACGGCATGAATTGCAAGTGGGCAAAAGCTGCGAACATCCAAGTACTAACAAACATGGCAACAACTACAATGAGTGGTGGGCAAACCAGAGTTGTGAGAGAGGCTATGTTCTTGCGTTCGTGCGGCAAAAAATTGGAAATAACTGAAACGGGCGAATTGACAAAGCCAACACAAGTATTTTAAACATCTGCATCGAATTTCGTATCGGCCTCCGTTCGGGAGGAAGTCAATTCTCATTCGGACTGGACCTGACCAATTGCTCGAACAGCGCTCCGCCGGTAACACGAAGGCCTCACAAAACACAAAGTACATAACAGAGAACGCGACTCGTGGACGCTTGTCTTGGGAAAAACAGTTGGGCAACTCTGAACCTTGGAAAGGGGGACCGCCCCAAACAGTAACAGCGCCCGGAGAACCGGGGGGGGCGGGACATCGGCCTGTCGAACCGCCCCCCGTCCACTCCTCCAGGGGGGGGGGGTCGAACTGGCCCCCACCCCACGTGCAAGGGGACGGGGGTTGGAACCAGCCCCTCCCGCCTCCCCATTGTAGAACCCAATTCATGGTTCAATGGCACCGTAGTCCTGATCAACCCAACTCTGATAGAATCCGACTCTTGTTGAAGCCAGCCCTACTTGATTCCGACTACGGCTCGATCAAACTTTTTGTTTGCCGGATCCAACTTTAATGACATCCTAGCCAGGCTCGAGCCAACACTGATAGAATCCTATTCTAGTTGGATCCAACTTTGATCGACCCCTGCCAGGACCCGACCCAGCTCTGACAGAAACCTACGATAGCTAGATCAAGCACTACTTTGATCCTTTTGGGGCTCAATCTGGCTTTAATTGCATCCTACCAAATCTCGACCGTCGTCGTCATCGTCGCCGTCGTCGCTACCCGACAGCGCCCGCGCTGGCGCCAGCGCTCGTTGTCGTCGGTTGGAGGGCCCCCCCCCGCCCCCCTCCGGCTCGAATCCCCCGCCCTCCCATGCAATTCAAAGGGGGGGGGGGCTCCCAGTTCGAACCCCCCCCCCGCCTTGAGGGTGGGGAGCTGGTTCGAACCGCCACTTTTGCAATTCCGGGTGTCGGGGGCGGTCAGAATCACGCGTTGGAAGCGTCCACGGAACGCGCTTTCTTAACACATAAACTTAGAAGGGGGATACTGACAATGATGATGAGTATTGTGATGGCGATGGCGATGATGGTGATGGCGATGACGATGACTGCGACGAAGACGATAGGGATGATGATGCTGGTGAAGATGATGATGCTGATAATGATCCGGACTCCAATGAGCGGCCAGAGGTTCGGGGAACAAGCAAAAGAGCGAGCATCGAAAAGGTGAAGCCAGAAATGATACGATGGTGAACGGTGTTTATCATTCTATCTCTCGCGACACATTCTTTAAGTACGAAGAGCCGACCAGGGCACCGAGTGAGGACGCGGCGATTTGGCCGAAGAACTAGCCACGCCGCGGGCGCTGATGGGTGCCATCTTCCATCTACGCACGGGGGCGCTAGGAGACGAGGGCACCTCAAATCGCACACCCAGAGAATCCACGACTTCGTCGGAAACATCGCGATCAGCTTGGTCCTCCTCATGCAGCTGGTCTACGTACTTCTTCAGGACAGAGTTGGCAGCAACCATCTCGGTCATCTGCGCCATGACCGGTGTGAAAGTCAAGCACTCCTGAGTCTTGAAAGCGACGATGTCACAGAGACGACGGCACAGGCATCCTCGAAATTGACAGTGATCGCAATGCTGCGCGTGGTGACGTTGTATCTATCGAGCCTGCGTTTGTCATGCGAGCTTCAGCAAGACGGTTTGCGTGACCAACTTCACGACGGTGCTGAACATCAGGAGGCCCTTCGACCTGCCCGTGCTGATTGAGCACGTTGCCGAGCTTACTCGATCTTGTGGATGCCAGGAACCGTGATGTGGCGGAACACATTCTAGGCGATGTCAAGGTTGATGAGCTTTTTAGCAACCGTCCCAGGGAGGATGCCACCGCGCTGACCCAGTCGGGCAGCCCTGAGGTCCTGGCAATGATGTCCAAGAGCGTCAGAAAGTGCACAGAGAGCAGAGCAATGTAGCTCGAAGGCGAGTGCCGCCATTGCGCAGTGCCGAGCGGATGCAAAACCTGCAGACATTTGTTCGAACAACACGCGCCGCGCCTAGCGCCAAAAATGGCTACAGATGATGACGACGACGATGATATGGTGATGATGATGATGACGACGACGACAATGATGCTGATGGTGATGATGGTGATGGTGATGAAAACGATCATGATGATGATAAAGATGACGGTGATGCTGATGCTGATGCTGATGCTGATGCTGATGCTGATGCTGATGCTGATGCTGATGATGATGATGATGATGATGATGATGATGATGATGATGATGATGATGATGATGATGATGATGACGATGACGATTGCGACGACGACGCAACCACGACGACCATGATGGTAAGTGCATGATGGATGCGACGATGATGAAGACCTTCTTCCGCCCTCCCTCGCCCTCCACACCGCTCAATGTCAAGGGACCGCCAAAGCGCACAATCGCAGATCGAGAGGTCGCTGGCCTCACCACCCCCTCTAGGTCCAGCGGCGCGCGCACCAGGGCTATAGCAGGCGGGGGGCTCTCTCGGAAGCCCTCCCGCCTCGCAAGAGGCTCTCTCTGAAGCACCCCGAGCCCTTCTGGAAAGCACCCTGCCTTCCTTCGATCGGCAGCCAGCCAGAGGGGAAGTGAGAAGCGGCGGGCCTTTCCAGAAGGCTCAAAGTCCCCAGGGCTTCGGAGAAGTGCTCTACGCCTTCCCCGAGGACGCAAAAAAAACATCTCAGAAGGCTGGACAACTTCTGAGAAGCCCCGCCGTTTTACGGAGCAGGCCTTCTCCTTCTCACTTCCCCCCCTCGCTCGCCGCCGATACGAGCACTCCCCAAAGTCACTGCGCCCCCCCGACAAGCACCCGCACAAAACAAGGGTTAAGTCGGGCGTGCCCCCCTACAGGGGAATTTTGGGCGAAACATTTAAACTACTCAAAAAGCACCCCCCCCAATGGGCAAAAATAATAAAACAAACAAAAAACGTCCCCAGACTATGCAGGCCCGACTTAAAACAAGGGCCCTGGCCCCTCCTGGACCCCTCCCCTTGGCCAATGCCGGCATGTGTTTCACACTCTGCCCAGCCAGAGCAGCGAGAGCCTCGAGAAACGCACAACAACCTTCAGGGCGACGGTGCCGGCATCGTGGCAGCCCGCATCCTCCCACGCGCGCTCCCGCGAGGGCGGGAGCGCGCCTGCGCGGGGACGACAGCAGGGAAGAGGAGGAGGGTGAGCAGGGGAGGGAGCGCGGGGTGGGGGGCTGGCCAGGGAGAAGGAGGCCACTCCTCACCTCTTCCTCCTCCTCCTCCTCCTCCATCCTCTGGTCCCCTTCCATCCGCTCAACGGCACGCCCGGTACTGGTACTGAAAAATGGGTCACATGCCGAGCAGCAAGTGTTGACCAAAACCGACAGCGGCCGCTGCTGGTTGGGCGACGCTGTGTCTAGACTGGACCCCGCCCGCGTCGACGCCGTCAGCGAGCTCCCTTCCAGAGTGGGCATGAAATGCTGTCGGCCTTCGTCACCATCAGTTCTGTACGTACCCATTTCCAACGTACTGAGCCCATCGTCGTGCTGAGGGGCAACTATAGGGGGGGACCAGCATAGAGGGGGCACATCGACCTGGAATCGGCGATACATCGCCCATAGATCGGCCATAACCAGAAGCCTCCGATGCTGAATGCACACACACACACACACTCCTGGGCGGGGCTGGGCTACCAGACCACTATCGGCAGTCAGTGGGCGATTGGGGGTCGATGCATCCCACCCTGTCCCTATCCCCCCCGATCCTTGCCCCCGACCTGCCCCTCCCCCTCGGCGCGCCGCCAGTGGCGCGACCCCGCGCGCCAACGTCCTCGTGCCGATCCCAGCCGCCAGTGGTCATGTCCTCGGCTGGCAACATGGGCGGCGGGGCGCGCCGCCACCGCCGCCGTCGGCGTCGTCCTCCGAGCCCTCCCACAACCTCGTCCTCCGAACCCTACTCGTGCCTGCTCTCTCCTGCTCCTCGACCCACGCTCAAGCTCCTCCTCCCACACCTCCTCGATGTTCCCTTTGTGATTCTTCGTCTTCACAATAAGAGTACCAGCCTAAACATTATGATCGTTATTTGTAGTACTACCCTTGGTCTTACGATCATGGTAGAATTGTTTATGTAATCATTATTTGACTTGTAAGTATGAGTTGTAGTAGTAGTAGTAGTAGTAGTAGGTGTAGTAGTAGTAGTAGTAGTAGCAGCGGTAGTAGTAGTAGTAGTCGTAGTATTAGTAGTAGTAGTAGTAGTAGTAGTAGTAGTAGTAGTAGTAGTAGTAGTCGTAGTCGTAGTAGTAGTAGTAGTAGTAGTAGTAGTAGTAGTAGTAGTAGTAGTAGTAGTAGTAGTAGTAGTAGTAGTAGTAGTAGTAGTAGTAGTAGTAGTAGTAGTAGTAGTAGTAGTAGTAGTAGTAGTAGTAGTCGTAGTAGTAGTAGTAGTAGTAGTAGTAGTAGTAGTAGTAGTAGTAGTAGTAGCCGTTGCATTATTTGTGCAATCTGATACTAGTATCAGCGGCATAATTATCATTGGTGTTCGTATCATTCGTATTCGTGGTAGTACTCCGCCTGCTCCGTGGCCTCCTCCTCCTCTTCCTCCTCCTCCTCGCTATCATCATCATCATCATTATCATCATCAACATCAGCATCAACAAAAACATCATCATCATCATCATCATCATCATCAGCATCATCAGCATCATCGTAATCGTCAGCATCAGCATCAGCATCATCATCAGTAGCATCATCGTAATCATTCAAAGTAGCATTACCATCATCATCAGCAGCTGCATCATCATTGTCGTCATCAACATCATCAACATCAGCATCATCAACACAATCAGCATCACTATCATCATCAGCGCCCCCGTCTGGTGAGGTTCAAGACCAGGTTTCGCATGCGTTTCTACTAGCATTGGGACCCGCACCACTCCACCGCAGCCTGCTCTGCTCTACCACCTCCGCCAGTGTTGCCCCTCGTCTGCCACCAGCCCACGCGCCCCCTCTGCCCCGCCCCCTTGTCGCACGAGGCGGCACGACAACGCAGCCCGAGTCAATAAAAACTACGTCCTTCCTCCCAAGCAAGCAGGCCCGCCTCTCTTCCCCGACACCCGCGCGCCCTCTCGCTCCGACAGCTTCAGCTGTTACACGGCACGGCGCGGCACGGGGCGCTACCGATCAAGCGAGTCATCGGCTGGCTCTTCGCCATTCCGTTCAGAAACCATGACGAGGATGCAAATTGTCTGTCTTGGGGGATTCACCGAGTTACTCGACTGTCCCTCTGACTGGTTACGCGTTTCTCTCGGTCGGAAGACTCCAGAGCCCTAGACTGCATGCATTGTCCCAACCATATGTTGTTGGGTTTCCGTTTTGGATAGAGCACTGTGGTCGCGACGTGATTCCCGCCTCCGTCATTATGCTCTCTCTCTCTCTCTTTTGTCGTGTGATCTCTCTCTCTCTCTCTCTTTCCCCCCCTCCTTCATCCATGGGGGCTACAACGTGCGAAACTGTCGCCATACTCGAGGGTTGCATGGGGAGCGCAGGTACGCAATATGCGGCCTCATACGATAGTTTGCCATCATGGGGGGTGCTACAATATACGAAACAGCTACAAACTTCGAAGGCTTCTGGGGGGGGAACATCATGACGCCATACGTAAATTCAGAATAGACCTGGTCATCTTTTGGGGCCTGCGATATGCAACACGGTCGCCACTTCCGAGGGTTGCTGGGGGTCCGTGTCGCCACACGGCGACGCAGACTACACCGCGCCATCCCTGGGTGGCTGCAATCTGCGAGTGTGTCGCCACTTTCGGGAGTTGGTGGGGGGGAGCACAATGACGCCAGATGCGGACTCTGACTAGACCTTGGCATGGCTGGGGGGTGCTGCGATCTGCGAGAATGTCGCCACTTCCGCGGGCTGCTGGGGGGCCGCACCGTGTCGCCATACGCGGATTCAGGCTCGACCTCGCCAACCCTATGGGGATGTGGTCTGCGATCGCCACTTTCGAAGGGTTGCGGGGGGGGGGGCGCCACAATGGCGCCATACGCGGATTCAGATTGAATCTCGTCGTCCCCAGGGGGCTACAATGTACGAAGCCATCGCCGCTGTCGAAAGCTGCGTGGGGGGGCAGCACACTGGCGTTTTACGCGGGTTCAGATTCGACCTCGCCATCCGCGGGGGGCTGCGACATGCGAGTTCGTCGCCACTTTTGACGGTTGCTGGGGGCCAGCGCACTGTCGCCATCCGCGGATCCAGGTTAGACCTCGCCATCCATGGATGGTTGCGACCTGCGAAGGTGGGGCTGCAGGGGGGGGGCCAACACCGGTACGCACATTCAGATTCGACCTCGCCATCCCTGGGCGGCTGCGATCTGCGGAACTGTCGCCAATGTCGAGGGCAGCAGGGAGGCGGCATCATACGCGGGTTCGCGCTCGACCACGCCATCCGTGGGGGGGCTGCGATCTGCGGGGGGCTGCGATCTGCGATTTTGCCGCCACTTTCGAAGGTTGCGTCGCGATGTCCTACGCATGTCCGGACACGACCATGCCATCCCGGAGTTGCGATCATCATCATCAATATGTTCCATAGTTTCTGGGTTTTTGTCTTCCCCCCCACTGCCCATATTTTCCCATATTTTCCTGGGCGTCGACGATTCATTGTGTCTGTGTGTTGTTTCCCCTCCTCAAGAGCGACGTTCTACGCGGACTCGGACAAGACCTCGCGGCGCGCCAACACGCACTTACGTCCCGCACTGGGAGATGCCCGGAAGAGGCCCAGCCGCTGGCACACCAGCTCGGCCTCGCGCAGCACTGACTATAACTCGCTGGTGGCGTGCCTCGAATGCCATGTCTACCATGTATCCTTCCTCTGCCCTTCTCTCGTCGTCATGTCCTTCCTTCCTGCTGCCATGCCCTCTTGCTGCTGCCCGGATGATGTTGCTCCCCCCGAGCCAGGGGGGTAGCTGCTCCTCAGCTCCGTCAAGCCTCTGTCCATCGATCGGTGTCCTGCGAATCGCGCAGCTCGCGAGCCTCCCAAGTAACGCTCGCAGAAAAAATGCTCATTGACATGTTAACCTAGCTATTTTGACTACGCGTTGCGCAAGGGTTGGGCACATCACCAGGATGGTTCCAACTGCACCTCGGCTTGCTAAGAAGCAATTCCTGCTTCTGCAGCCAGACCTCCTGCTCCTCCATCCAAAATTTCCTTTCCCCTCTTTGTTATCAGATTCCTCTTCTTCCTCTGTATCATAACCATCATCATCATCGTCATCATCAAACACCTACTCGGAAAGCGTGGCCAATGGCCGCTCCTTGAAAATGTCGGCGAAGCTCAAGCACCAGTAATGGGAAGGAATGCGCATCTGCCTGTCCGCGCGCCGGGGGTGGCCTCCTCCCCAACGACTGGCCAGATCTTGTGTAAAAGCAGCGGCGTTCCCTCAGATCCGGGCCCCGTGATAAGAACAACAACAACTTACAAAACAGAACAATCAGAACGAATTGCGCTCTTCCCACGCTTCGGCACATGGGACCCTCAACATGTCGCGCTGAAGACATGCTGCAGAAACATAGGACCGAGAGCTTTGGTCATGAGTTGTCATGAAGATGCTTCCTCAACAACTTGTCTGCAAGGGGTCTCCAAAGGTGGCCAAATGCCCCCTGAGTCCCCTGCAGGCCATCGGAAGCCTCCAGAAGCCCCGTACCGACCGATCAACATCCCCCCCTCGGACGAGACGCGATGACCTTGGCGTCCCCGCGGGTGAGCTGGTCTCGCGGGCTATCGCCAAGCTGGCGCCCACACACGACTTTCTGCTTCCAGGGATCGCCCACGCACAAGTCGCCCCTGCGACGATCGACGACAGGGACGACGACGACGAAAATGACGACGGAGGACACATTACAAAAGACGACGACGACGACTGCAACGAGGGACGAAGAGGCACGACAACGAGGGCGAGGTCGACGAGGATGGAAGACGGAGGACGATGAAGAAGACGGACGACAAGGGCGACCGACGACGGACGGCGACAACGATGGGCGTCAATGGCGACGGACGGCGACGGCAAGATCCAGCACTACGACACGACGACTGCGGACGACGATGGATGACAACGGTAACGACGACAACCACAACGACGGTCGACGACGACGATCGACGTCGATGAAGACGAGGATTGCCAGGACGACGAAGGAACACGACGACGAGGACAACGACGCCGGCGACAGCGACGACGGGAAACGACGAGGAGCGGCCATGTGCGAATAATTGAGCAGGGACCGACCGCCCCGGCATTCCTATAGTCCTACCACGAAATGCTCCTACAACCCAAAATATCATAAGAACAAAGACAATGTTCTTAGAACATGAACCCGATGTGTTAAAACAAGACAGTCCCAACCAGAAATGTTCTAGGAACAGGTCGTGGGAACCACAAAAAGGTCTTAGAACATTGCTCGGTGGGACTAAAAGCGAGCCAAGACGCTCCGCCTCTGCTTGAAATAGAGGATGCGGAAAAAAACACATCCCATCCCTACGCTTTTGACCGCAGGCAGCCGCCAGCACCACGCGTGAAGTGCTGCACGCTCGAGCACGGCTCCGCTGTCCTCCTCCGAAGCCACCTGTCTCCCATGCTGTTGGCATCGGTGCGCAATCAGCGCTGCCACTCCACTGATGTTGCACTCCGACGTCTCGTGCCTCACGTCGCAGCTGACAACAAAACGTATGCTCCACGTCCCTACGTGCGGCTCGTGTTTCCCCGCACCCCCTTGGGGCAACGTTAGGGGTGATAGGCTCAGGGGGAGAAAGATCGAGCTGGAATCGGCGATACATCGCCGATGGGGTCCTCATAGCCAACCCCGCTCAGGAAGGTGCAGATTCGCGATCGGGGGCTGAATTCTCGCCAATGCCACCTCGACGTTTCCACCTCGACGTTTCCCCTATCCCGACCCCCCTATCCTGTCCCCCCAGTTCCCACGTCACATGGGGCGACCACAACGACGCCGACGACCACGAGCGCCCAGCGGGAGCCGCGACAGCCGGCAAGCGAGCCCAGAATCGACAAAGCGGATCGGCGAACTCGGCAGCCAAGTCCGCAGAAATCGGCAGGCCGAGCGGGCCCCCAGTGAGAAGCCGAACCCCCGACCGGAGCCCGAGGTCGAACCGCACATCGACATCGGAGCCGATCAAGCTCGCATCGAAGCAGGCCAGAGGAGCCGCAACGAGCCCCGCGACGCCGACGACCTCGCGCGCCTGGCGGAAGCCGCGCCGGCCGGCGGGCGGGGCGCGCCACAGGAAGGCTTGCTGGTGCCGCTGGTGGGGCATCAGCAGCGCCTGGCGTTCGCCGGCGCGGCCCGCGCGGCCCGCGCCCGTGGCCGCCCCTCGCGCGCCCCGGCGGCCCACCGCCGCGGCAGCGGCTGCCGTGCAGTCCAGCTGCCGTCCCGAGGAGCGCCAGAGGAGGAGCTGCCCAGGGGAAGAGTCCCGCAGAGAAGCAAACGGTTACATAAGCATATAAAACTCGGAGGTCCGCGCGGACTTCTCAGATCGGCCTTGGAGCCCCCTCCTTGGCGCGCGGAGCGCGCCAGGGGCGGCGCTAGAGGCGCCGCCAGGAGGCTCCAGCGCCGATCCGAGAATCCGCGCGGACCTCCGCGTTCGTTCCCCGATCCTGGCAGGCGTCCTGGCAGGTCCTCGTCGTCTTCGTCGTCATCGTCGTCGTCTTCGTCGTCGTCGTCGACGTCGTCGTCGTACCTTCGGGCTGCCCAGGGAGGCGTGCCTGCAGGGACCTTCGGGCGGCAGGGGAGGCGTCTCGGCATGTACCCTCAAGCTGCCCAGTCAGGCCTCCTGCATGAACCTTCGGGCGGTCCAGGGGGAGGCGACCTGGCAGGTTCCTCCTCCTCCTCATCCTCCTCCTTTTTCCTCCTCCTCCTCCTCCTCCTCCTCCTCCCCCTCCTCTTCCTCCACGTCTTCTTCCTCCTCCTCCTCCTCCTCCTCCTCCCCATCCTCCTCCTCCTCCCCCTGCACCCCCTCCTTCTCCCCATCCTCCCCCTCCCCCCCTCCCTCTTCCCAATCCCCGGTACCTCCGGGCTGCCCAGGCAATCGCTCCGGTATGTTCTTTCGCTCGCCTCGGGGACGCGCTCAGGCAGGCGCTTCAGGGACGCATTCTGCACCCCCGGGCCGAGCCCCCTTCTGGGCCCTCAATGCGCCCCTGGGTGCACGAGCTACCCGAAGAGCAGCGGGCACATTCCGAACCCGAACTGTTCCTCCTTGCTGACTGCCATGAAGGGGCCCTAGGACACACAAATAAATACACACAAATAAAAATATTCCCAATATTTCCTATAGTTTGTGGTTTTCGTCTTCCCCCCCACTTTCCATGTTTTCCGGTATTTTCTGGGGAATCAGCGATGAATTGTGTCTGTGTATTTTTCCCTCCTGATACCTACCAGACCACCCCAACCCCAACCCCAACCCGAAAAAACGAATTTCGGGTTTGGGGGGGGGGTACGGGTTCCAGATGTGTGTTTTTTGTTCAATGTTCCCAGACCCCCCCCCCCCACACTGGAAATGGAGAGCAAATCGGGGCCTTTGGGTTGGGTTGGGATGGGTTGGTGGGTGGTGACTTGAAGCGTCTCCACTGCACTCGGCCACATGCAGAGAGCGACCCTGGGCACCAGAGACCTGTGTTGCGCGTCCTGCGGATCGCTGCCATGTGAAGCAGGAGTGGCGGCCGGCGTGCTCGAGCCTGCCCCCCACAGGCCGCGCCGCCGCTCGAAAGACGCGCACCCGTCGCTCCAGCAAAGGGCCACTTTTTTACGTGCAGCCCGCAGGGGGTCCTCCTCCTCCTCCTCCTCCTCCTCCTCCCTCCTCCTCCTCCTCCTCCTCCTCCTCCTCCTCCTCCTCCCCCTCCTCCTCCTCATGCTCCTCCTCCTCCTCCTCCTCCTCCACCTGCTCGTCCTCGTCTTCCTCTCCTCCTCGTCGTCCTCCTCCTCGTCCTCCTCCTTCTCCTCCTGCGCCTCCTCCTCCTCCTCTTCCTTCTCCTCCTCGGACGAGGGCGAGGAGGACGAGAGGAGACCGAAGGACAGCAGGGGGCAGAGCAGCATGCCGCCGTCGCCAGCCAACCCTGGGCACAGCGCAGACCAGCAGGCGCAGCCGCAGGGTGCCGACAACGATGGATCAGAGTGCTGCACCATCGCGGCTCATCAGCACAGCGGCCCCTCCTCGCCGCTCTCGTCGTCGCTGTCGTTCGTTCCGGCATGTTGAGGTGTTTGGCTTCTTGGGGGGCCACCTGCGGCACAGGGGCGGAAGAGGGGGGGGGGGAGGGGGGGGCATTCCACAGGGCGGGAGGGGGGGGGGGAGCGCATTCCACAGGGCGGGAGGCAGGCCCCCCACCTCACCCAAAGTCAGTCGATTCACGCGCCTCTCGTGGAGCACGCTCAGACCGAGATGCAGAGGCAGACCCGACCCAGGAAGCCCCGAGAGGCCCCCCACGAGGCTCCCAAGAGGCCCCCAAGAGCTTCCCAAGAGGCCCAAGAACTACCACCAAGAGGCCCCCGAGAGCGCTCGTCGTCGTCGTCGTCGTCGTCGTCGTCGTCGTCGTCGTCGTCGTCGTCGTCGTCGTCGTCGTCGTCGTCGTCGTCGTCGTCGTCGTCGTCGTCGTCGTCGTCGTCGGCGAGGGGCCGAGGCAGAGCCGAGCGCGGCGGCGGGAGCCGCGGGGGTGGCCGGCCGTGCGAGGGGATTCGAGCCATCTCGCTCTCTCTCTCCGCCTCCTCGGTTCGGCTCGGACGAGGGAGGTCGACGAGCCCCAGGGGCGCGACCTGCCCGAGGGGCGAGCTGGAGGAGAGGCAGAGGGGGGACACCCAGGAGCACCGAGAGAGAGAGAGGGAGTCAGAAGGGGAACTCCACGCTGCGACATCCTGCCCCCCGCCCGTCACTCCGCCGCCTTCGCCAACCACGGAGCATCGTTTGACCGATCCCCATCTCCACTGGCGTGGCCTGGGAGCCACTGGCTGTGTCAGGCGCTTACAGTCGGCCCAGATTAGTAGGTCGACCCTGCCAAAACAAGGGTGCACGTGTGTCCTGTGTCTCGCGACCCAAGTTTCCTTCCTTCCTGTGGCAATGTGGCCCTCGGAAGGGTCTTGTGTCCTCTCGCGTGTCCTGTCCAATCGAGTCCGACTGTAGCCTAGACGGGGATCTAGGCTGTTCCCTTGGGGTTTCGAGGGGCCTCTCCCCATCTGAGGTGGTGGGATGGTGGGGCTGATATGCCATGGCCTGGTGGAGATGATCATCGGCTGAGAAATATGAGCGACCATCCTGTTCTCTTGTTCTGAACCGCCTTGTGGAGTTTGAACGGCGCGCTGGAGAGACAGGGCCCAGCGTCCTCCTCCTCCTCTCCCCCTCTTATCGGGTCGGGCGGAAGGGGGGGATAGCAAAGGGGGGTCTTGAGAATCAGCTCACGTAGCTGATTTTCCCGGCGCCTCCCGGAGCCGGGAGGCGGCCACGTATCGAGGAATGGACCCCTCGGCGGGGTTGAAACCAGCTGCATGCAGCAAATTTCGTAACCCCCCCTTTCCCAATCTTCTCCTCCCTCCTCTGCCCGCCGCGCAACCATGCTGGTGCTATTTCGGCAACCCTCACAGCTTTCGTTGGTCCACACGAGACCGCCCAGCTCATGTCGGCGCACAGCTCAGAGACTCTTCGCTGCAGGCGCCGGCGCCAGCACAGAAAATAAAAAAGACATCGTCCCCGCCGCCGCCGCGAGCCGCCGCCGACGCAGGCGCCGGCCCGAGGAGCGGGAGAGGGGAACAAGTAAGGGAGGAGGGGGAGGGGAAGGGGGGGGTCGAATCCACCCCCTCCCCTCCCTCCAAGCAACCACAGAAGGCGCTCTTCCAGTACTACTCTTGTGACTACTACTACTACTACTACTACTACTACTACGACGACGACGACGACGACGACGACGACAACGACGACTACTACTACTACAACTACTACTACTACTACTACTACGACGACGACTACTACTACCACTACTACCACTTTTAATTTTACTACCACTGCTACTACTACTACTAATACTACGACTACTACTACTACTACTACTACTACTACTACTACTACTACTACTACTACTACTACGACTACGACTACGACTACTACTACTACTACTACTACTACTACTACTACTACTACTACTACTACTACTACTACTACTACTACGACTACTACTACTTACTACTAGGGACTACTACTACTACTACTACTACTACTCTACACTACTACTACACTACTACTACTACTACTAGTTTTTACGACTATACTGTACTGAGGACTTACTACCTCCACTAACACTGCTACTACTACTACTACTACTGCTACTACTACTACGACTACGGACTACCACTACTACCTTCACTACTACTACTACTACGACCTACTACACTCCTACTACGACGACGACGACGAACGCGACTACTTACTACTACTACGAAACCGACTACTACTACGAACTACCACTAAGTTGAGGGATTTTGTTGTCTACTACTACTACTACTACTACTACTACTACTTCTACTACTACTAATACTACGACTACTACTACTACTACTACTACTACTACTACTACTAGTAAAAACTACTACTATTACGACTAATACCAGAAGTAAGACTGCAACTACTACTACTATGATTGCTACTACTACGACTACGCCAACTACTACTACTACTACTACTACTACTACTACTACTACTACTACTACTACTACGACTACTACGACTACTACGACTACACGACTACTACTAACTTACTACCACTACTACTACTACTACTACTACTGCTACTGCTACTGCTGTGACAACTAATTACTACTAAACTACTACGACTACGACTACGAACTACGACTACGCTACGACTTCTACTACGCACGAGAACTACCTCTACGACAACTAGTAATGTACTCTACTATTAACTACTACTACTACTACTACTACTATCTACTGACTGCTACCTATTACTAACTACCACTACTACTACGACTAACCACCACTAACTACGACTACCACCACCACTACTTCTACTACCACTACTGCTACTACCACTACTGCTACTGCTACTACCACTACTACCACTACTACTACTACTACTACTACTACTACTACTACTGACTACTACGACTACTACGGCGACTACTACTACTACTACTACTACTACTACTACTTCTACTACTACTACTACTACTACTACTACTACTACTACTACTACTACTACCACGACTACTACTACTTCCTACTACCAATACCACACCACTACCACTACACTATTACTACTAATACTTACTGCTACTACTACTACGACTACTACTACTACTACTACTACTACTACTACTACTACTACTACTACTACTACTACTACTAGGGTCAAACTTCACCTTCGTGTCTACTAAGAATGATGGGTAAGGGTTCGGGTTCGGCTTCGGGTTTGGGTTTGGGTTCGGGTTCTACACAGTCAGTTACAACCAAATAGAATAACATCGAATAGTCGGAGTTTAATCGTACACGAAGCAGAAGTTCGGAAACCCACAATTTCGCCATTCGCTGATAGGAAAACAATACACGGGCTATAGAGCTAATAGTACACGAAGATGAGGTTCGGAAGCCCACTGGTTCTAATAGTACACGAAGAAGGGGTTCGGAAACCCACAATTTCGCCGTTCGCTCGTAAGAAAACAATACAGGGGCTATAGAGCCAATAATACACGAAGGTGAGGTTCGCAAACCCATTGTGGAAGACGAAAAAACAGCGTTCCTCTTTTCCTGATCGCTTTCCTCTTCCTCATCCTCCTCCTCCCCCTCCTTCTCCTCCTTCCCCTCCTTTTCCTCCTCCTCCTCCTCCTCTCCTGCCCGTCCCCCCACCTCCTCCTCCTCTTCCTCCCTTCCATCCTCCCCCTCCTCCTCCTCCTCCCCTCCTCCTCCTCTTCCTCCTCCTCTCCTCCTCCTCCTCCCTCCTCCTCCTCCTCCTCCCTCCTCCTCCTCACTCCCTCCTACCTCCTCCTCCCTCCTCGCCCCTCCTCCCTCCTCCACCTCCTCCTCCTCCTCCTCCTCCTCTCCTCCTCCCCCTCCTCCTCCTCCTCCGCTCCCCCCGCGCTCCTCCTCCACCTCCTCCTCCTCCTCCTTCCTCCTCCTTTTCCTCCCTCCTTCCCTCCTCCCCCTCCTCCTCCTCTTCCTCCTCCTCCTCCTCCTCCTCCTCCTCCTCCTCCTCCTAACCATCACGTACCAGAAACGAATAAAACTAAAATGCCTTCCCGACTGAAACCAAAACGACGTCCTTATGAAAACCCACTCTGAAATGGACCAGAGGGCCACGATCCTCGTGAGGGGTGTTCCGGCATTGGGCGTCGGTGGGCCGTCGGCAGCGCTCCACATTGGGCCAGGGCCACGATCCATGTGAGAGGTGTGCCGAACTTCAGCGTCGGGCGGCGATCCAAATGTGCGAGGTCCACGATCCGTGTGAGGGGTGCGCCGATATTGCTCATCGGTGGGCCGTCGGCAGCGCTCCCAGGTGGGCCAGGACACGATCCTCGTGAGCGGCGTGCCGGAATTGGACGTCGGTGGGCCTTCGTCAGCGCTCCCACTTGGACCAGGGCCACGATCCTAGTGAAGTGCGCGCCAGAATCGCGCGTCGGAGGGCCGGGCCCACGATCCTCGAGAGGGTTGTGCCGAAATGAAGCGGCTGGCAGTGGCGGTTGCTCCAAATCCGACTTCGACACGAAGGACAGACAGGTGTAAAACTGTCGTTTTTTGTTCACTTTCTAATACGAATCCAATCTACAGCCTCTACAGCGAATAGTGCACGAAGGTAGGCATTGGCGCGAAAGACACGAAGGCCAGGTTTGAAACTACGGTTTTCGTAATTCCCCTGGTAGGAGTTCTATTAGGCCTGATACAACAGAAGAGTACACGAAGGTGAGGTTTGTAGCGACACGAAGACCATGTGCACCCCTACTACTACTACTACTACTACTACTACTACTACTACTACTACTACTACTACTACTACTACTACTACTACTACTACTACTACACATACTACTACACATACTACTACACATACTACTACTACTACTACTACTACTACTACTACTACTACTACTACTACTACTACTACTACTACTACTACTACTACTACTACTACTACCTAACTACCCAACTACCTAACTACCACTACTACTACTACTACTACTACTAACTACTATCACTACTACTACTACTACTACTACTACTACTACTACTACTATTACTACTACTACTACGACTACGACTAAGATTACGACTACGATTACTCCTACTACTACTACTACTTCTACTACTACTACTACCACGACTACGACTACGACTACGACTACGATTAGTACTACTACTTGGCCACTAGTGCTACTACGACTACCACTACTACGACTACTACCACTACTACAAATACGACTATTACGACAACTACTACTACCACTACTACTACAAATACTACTACTCCACTACGGCTACTAAAAGTACTACTACTTCTTCTTCTACTACTACTACTACCTCTACTACTACTACTACGACTACGACTGCCACTACTCCCAGTAGTATCACTACTACAGCTACTACGACGACTACTACAACTGAAACTACTACTACTACTACTACTACTACTACTACTACTACTACTACTACTACTACTACTACTTCGAATATACTACTACTATTATTACTACTACTACTACTACTACTACTACTACTACTACTACTACTTCGAATATACTACTACTATTATTACTACTACTACTACTACTACTACTACTACTACGACTAGTACCACTACTACCACTACTACGACTACTACTACTACTACTACTCCTACTACTACTACTACTACTACGACTACTAATACGACTACTACTACTACTACTACTACTATTACTACTGCTACTACTACTACTACTACTACTACTACTACTACTACTACTACTATTACTACTAGTATTTGTTCTACTCCGACCACGACTACGACTACGACCACGACCACTGCTAGGACGACCACAACTACAACGACTACTACAGCTACTACTACTCCTACGACTGCTACTACTACTGCTACTACTACTACTACTACTTCTACTACTACTGCTTCTACTACTACTACTACTACTACTACTACTACTACTACTACTACTACTACTACTACCACTACTACTACTATTACTACTACTACTACTACTACTACTACTACTACTACTACTACTACTACTACTACTACTACTACTACTACTACTACTACTAAATATTGGGAGGAGGAGGGGAGATTTTTGGGTTTTTTTAACTACTACTACTACTACTACTACTACTACTACTACTACTACTACTACTACTACTACTACTACTACTACTACTACTATACTCTACAACTACCTACTCTACAACTACTACTACTCACTACTACTACTACTACTACTACTACTACTACTACTACTACTACTACTACTACTACTACTACTACTACTACTACTACTACTCTCACAACTACTCCTACTACTGCCACTACTACTACTAGTACCTGTACTACTACTACTACTACTACTACTACTACTACTACTACTACTACTTCTGCTACTACCACTACAACTACTACTACTACTACGACGACGACGGCGGCGACGACGACGACGACTACTAATACTACTACTACTACTACTACTACTACTACTACTACTACTACTACTACTACTACTACTACTACTACTACTACGACTACCTCTACGACGACAATGACGACTACAACTACGACTACCACTGCTCTCAGAGATAGAGCTGGGGCGAGGACGGCAACGAGAACAACGACGTTTCGCCCAGGGAGGGGGGAGGGTAGCACCCTGCGTGTCTTAACAAGCGTCGGCAGGACCAAGTCGACACCCGCCGCGAGCAAACCCCTTGCGCAGAAGGCGCCGGCGCCCCCTAGCGCAGCGCGCGGACGTTGCAAGACTGCCCCCCGATCGGGGGGAGGGGGGGGCGGGGAGGGGGGAGGGGGAACCCCACGCTTGTCATAGAACACAGCGTAGCGGAAAGGCGTGCCTCAACAAGCTCTATGATCGCTGGCATGTAGAACATGCGCCCCAGCATCGTGCCGAACAGCTCGGGGGAGAAGACCTCGCCGGGAGGCCCGCGGAGGCCGGGTCGGAGCAGGTGGGATGACCTGGGCTCGGCATTTCCCAAGCTGTGGATCAAAGCTGTGCCCCTTGGCAGCTCTCCTGACTGGAAGGCTACCACAGGGCTTCTGGAGTCATGCTGGACCTGGCTGCCTGAGCCTGTCGGACATACATCTCCTCACGCGTGAGAGGAGAGCGCTGGCGCACACGGAAGCGCTCGGGGCCGCTCTGGGGGCACGGGGGGCCGCTGGGCCATCCTCGTACTCCTGGTCACCTGTGTTCTTCGTTCCCGTCGTCACCACCATGTGACAGTGTCCGATGAATGCTAAGCTTGCATGTTTGAATCAAGATCCGCGTCTTGGTGTATGTCTGCACACATGTTGCGGTTGTTGTTTCTCCACCTGCGACAATGAAGCAAACACTGGTACCATGTTCCTACGACTCCGTAAACATGCACGTGGTGGATGCCCCGAGCTCGTTCGACATACACAACGCAACCTGAGCGCAACCTAACATCCTCATTACCACCATCGCCGTCATCATCTTCATCACCACAATATATCATATACTTCGCAATTTGGCTAAGGCGCATCCGTGAAGGGGAATGCTAAATTTGGAGGCGCCACGGCAGAGGAGGTGGATGTTCTAAAGTGTGGCCGATCGAAGCGCATGTTTGGGGGATATGTGCCCGCTCGGGAGCCAGGGTGAAGGGGAAAGTTCATCTGCCAGGAGGCGTAGGAGGGTATTCAGCAGCAGGAGGTGAGTTGCAGGACGAGACGGCGAAGGTGGAGAAGGAAAAGAGGCAGTAGCAGGGGAGAAAGGGGAGGGAGCAGCGGGGTAAGGAGAACATCGGCAGCAGGAGGAGGAAAGCAGGAATGCATGAGGGGAAAAATGAAGAAACCAAAACGAGACTGGCACCGATACCGCTACTCCCCGGCCCTCTCCCGGGCCCCCGGGCGCCTTCTGACCAGGGTTCGGACGCGCATCCAGCGATGGCGACGAGGGCCTCCCAGCAGGCCCAAAAGGGCGGTATCGGTGCCTTCCCCTCCCCCGAAAAAAGGAAGCATAGAGCAGGAGACGGAGCAGGCGGGAGAAGCGGAGAAGAAGGGCAGGAGAGAAGAGAGGGGGGACGGAGGGTGCGCGAGGTGCACTGGGGAGGCGGGCGACGGGGGGGGGCATACAGGTGAAAGAAAGGGGATGAAGGCGCCCAGGGACACACACACATACAAAAATACGCAAGCTATTCCCAGGATCCCTTCTATCGTCCCAAATGTTTCTGGAATCCCGTCTTCCCACCCACTTCCCACACACTTTCCCATATTTTCCAAGAGATCGATGATGAATCGTGTCTGGTTGTTTTTGTTCCCTCCTGAGGGGAGGGGGTTGGAAGCTGCCAGGAGGTCTGAACTGGAGGGACCTTCAGAGATAATCTGTCTGTGAAGGGAGATGAAAGGAAACTCTGCAGAAGTTTGGTTCCCGGACCCCTTCTGATGAAGGAACTAGTTTTGAATATTCCCCCTACAGAGGGACAGGCCCGACTTAGCACCAGATCCGTTCCTCCATTTCTGGCGCTCCCGGGGCCCGGAACCCAGCGCCTCAAACCTCGCCCCCCCCCCTTTTTTTCCTGCGCGTCGGCACCGGTGCCGGGACACCCTCCGACCCCCCGGATCGGCGGCGAGACCGAGGAGGGGCGGGCCTTCTCCGAAGGCCCAGAAGTGCCCCTGGCCTTCCGCGACGTGCTTTGAGCTCTCCCCGAAGGCACCGGAAGTCATGCGAAGGCGGGAGGGCTCCTGGGAGGTCCCGCCGCCTTCCGAGAACATCTTCTCCTTCCCGCTTCCCCCCCTCGCGCGCCGCCGCTCGTGTGCATCCGATGCGGAGAGCTCTCCCCCGCCTAGGCGGATTCTTTACGTGCCACGGTCGTCGTCGTGGTCGTCGTCGTTGGCCGTCGTCGCGGTCGTGGCCGCGGTCGTCGTCATGGTCTTCGTCGTCGTCGTCGTGGTCGTCGTCGTGGTCGTCGTCGTGGTCGTTTCGTCATGGTCGTCAGCTGCAGCTCGCCGCCGAAAGCAACGCATGTGTTTATTCGCGGCCACAACGGGCGACACCGGGAGGGAGGGGGGGAAGGGAAGGGAGGGGGCACAACGCAGCGCCCTCCCCCCCGGACTGTGGTGCCCGACGCACTGCGGCAGTGCCGGGCGCGCACTGAGAGGGGGGAGCGTTACGTTGTGCAGGGAGGGGGGGGAGGGGGGGAAACCAAAAGGTACCGATACCGCTACTCCCCGGACCTCTCGCGGGGTGCGTCCTGACCAGAACTTCGGGGCGAGTCCAGCGGTGGCGACGAGGGCCCCCGAGGAGACCCAGGAGGTGCAAAAGGAGGAACGGGTAGAGGTATATGGGTGCCTCTTCCTCCTCTGAGGAGGGGGGGGGAAGGGAGGAGGAGGAGGAGGAGGAGGAGGAGGAGGAGGGGGAGGAGGAGGAGGAGGCGCTGGAGGGGGGCATGCTCTTTGCCGCCCTGCGGGGGGGAAGGGCCGCGGCGCGCCCCTGCCGCGTGCCGCACGGCGGGCCCGCGCGCGCCCTCTCACGCCCCGCGCGCCGCCTCGTGGTCGGCGCCGCGCGCGGCGTGGCCCCGGGTGCCCACCTGTCCGAAGGAGCAGGCTCGGGCCGGGCGAAAGGGGGGGATTCGGAGATGGACAGACCTCCCTTTAGTAAAACGTGGTTTAGTGAAAACGACTTCGGGCCCAAACCTGGCGGGCGCAAGCCTGGAAAATAACGGCCACGGCGCCCTCTCGAAAACCGAAAACGGACAATTCACTAATCGACGTGTCACTGTTGGGGGTTCTGTCCGTCCCCGAGGGATAGAAAGTACGGGGCGCGAAAACGACCACAGCCAGTAAGGGCTAAAGTACAGGATAGCAAAGTACAGGGGGGATAGCAAAGTACAGGGCGTAAAGGGGGGGGAGCAAATTACAGGATGGCAATGTACAGGGTTTTTCTCTTGTCGCCGCCTCCCAGCCCGCAGAACCAAAGCAGTGGCTGTGGTCATGTTCGTGGAGCTTGGCACCAGGGAAATGACCACAACCACTGCGTCTTTTTCGGCCGGCTGGGAGGCGGCGCAAACAAGAAGCAGTGGCTGTGGTCATTTTCCCATCCCGCACAAAGGGGGGGTTCGAGAATCAGCTCACGTAGCTGATTTTCTCGGCGCCTTCCGGCGCCGGAGGCGCTTAGATATCGAGGAATGGGCCCCTCGGTGGGGCCGAAACCAGCTGCATGCAGCTAATTTCGTAACCCCCCCTTTCCCAATCCCCCCCTTTCGTCCGGCCCGACAGGCAGAGACATGAAGTACAGTCAAGCCGTACAGTAGGGATGCGCGGTAAGGGTGCGAAGGCCTCGGACGCCCACGCCGAGGCTCTTCGAGCGGGGCTGGCCTTCGAAAGAGGTCGAGGATGGGCCGGAGGTGACCGACAAGGCAAGGATGCAGGGGTACCCTGGGGAAGTCGCTCGTCCTTACTGTGCGGGTTGACTGTAGGAAGGCGCTGTAAGAGGATTTCGGCGGTGGACAAGCCCCCCCTTTGGTAGACCTCCCCTCAGTGAAAGCGGCCTGGGACCGAAACCGACGGACCTGGACCCGCACAAACCACGGCCGCGACGCCCTCTCGCGAACCGAAAACGGCCAACTCCTCAATCGACGCATCAGGGTAGGAGGTCCATCCACCTCCGAAGACAGGGCCTCCGCCCGAGGGGAAGCCACTCGATCATTGAAGTACAGTCGGGCTTGATTGGAGAGGACACGCGAGAGGACACAAGCCCCTTCCGAGGGCCACACTGCCACAGGAATTTACAAGGCACGGGCCTCTGAAGACAGGACACAACGGTACCCTTGGCATGGCAGGGTCGACCTACTAATCTGGGCCGACTGGAAGGCGCTTTAAAAAGTAGATTGGAGACCGGGGATCCAGAAAAATATACAGAAGGCTCCCAGCTTCGCGCTTCGCGCTGCGCGCAGCGCGCAGTGCGACTCACTCCGCGCCCTCGCGCCGCCTCCCAAGGGAGAAGAGGGGGACGAGGAGGCACCGGAGCCCAACCGCGAAGCGCGAAGCTCGGGCCGGGCGAAAGGCGGGGATAGCAAAGGGGGGGGGGGGAGAATCAGCTCACGTAACTGATTTTCCCGGCGCCTCCCGGCACCGGAGGCGGCTACGTATCGAGGAATGGGCCCCTCGGTGAGGCCGAAACCAGCTGCATGCAGCAAATTCCGTACCCCCCCCTTTCCCAATCCCCCCCCTTTCGTCCGGCCCGAGAAGCGCGCAGGACTTCGCGCCCTCGAGGGCGCCCTTGGCACACGTGTCCGCAGCCGCGGCCGCGCGGGCCGGGGACCCCGGGCCGCGGCCCAGCGGGCGCGGGGGGCCGCCCCTCCTCGCGGGCGATCCCCGGGCGGAACGCGCCGCCCCTGCGACGCAGCCGGACCGCGAGCGCGCAGGAGGAGGAGGAGGAGGAGGGAGGAGGAGGAGGAGGAGGAGGAGGAGGAGGAGGAGGAGGAGGAGGAGGAGGAGGAGGAGGAGGAGGAGGAGGAGGCCCTGCCCGCCTTCACGGCGTGGCCGATGTAGGACACCATGAGCGCCGACGGCCTCTCCACGCTGAAGCCCCCCAGCACGGGCCGACGGCGCGCTCGGAGGGGGCGGGGCGGGGGGGGTGGGCGTCCCCCCCACGGGCTCGCGGGGCTTCTCGGATGGGCTCGGGACCCTCTCCGGTGGGGGAAAGGGAGGGAGAGGGGGAGAGAGGCAGGAGGAGGAGGAGTTGGAGGAGGAGGAGGAGGAGAAGGAGGAGGAGGAGGAAGGGAAAGAGGAAGGGGCCCCAAACGGTGTGATGACCACACCGCGTGGCGAGTCAGCGCGGACTCGAGGTCACCGCGCGGTTTTGGTACTCGGGTCGCTCTCCCAGGATGCCTCGGGCAGCTGAGGTCTCCGAGGTGCCAAAATCGTGCGCTGGTGGACCGCGCGGTGGGGTCGC